GCTTTTAGGAGTCACAGGAGGACAGTTTCTAGCCATTTACAAAGTGACTGACTTTCAAAATCAGTTTGTACCGCAGTTGATTGAAAAGTTTTCGGTAGGTAAAAGAAAGAAGTGAGAAGTACCTTCTTGGCCTTTTCTTGGCATTACAATCGATGAAATCACAAAATATACGTAGGCGCGTTACTCGAAAGACCGTTTTATCACTTTTTTTTAAATACATATTATCTGTCATTACAATTGGACTGTTGCTTTTATATCGCCTCCACTTAGTATTTGTTTTAAACTTAAGTAAGTATATAAATTCATTATTGTAGACTGAATGGATGATATTGTTATATAGCTACAAAGTCGCACATATACCTTTTGATATTAAAATAAAAAATTCAACATCTAGTTTTTAGGAGTAGGTAATTAATTTTTTAAGGCTGGTTTGAACAGGTACCGTAATAATTATAATAATAATTACATAAATTATTTATGTAATGAAAAACCGGACATGTGCGAGTCGGACTTGCCCACCGAGTGTTCCCTACAATCTTAAACGGTCGTAGGTATCTTTTTTTAGCTTGATTTTTTCACATCTTCAAATCACCGTAGGCTTGAGTACTTATATGTGGTTTATATTTTAACTCGATAGCTCCACGCGTTCTCGAGATAAACGGTCATGATAGACAGACAGGACAGCAAAAAACTATAATGTTTCCGTTTTTTCTTTTGATGTACGGAACCCCTAAAACTGGCTTTTGTTTTATGACTATGTAATCAATAATTGTCAATACGGTTTTGCAAACGTACCTAAGCAACTGATGAGGACTGATCTTCTAGTGTACGTGACTCACTTCAACAAGTGGGGTGGTTGACGTCGCAGAAGTTTTGGTCTGGCATAGAAGCCTTTTCGAAGCACGGAGGAGCTCGAGATAGTAAATTTTCGGTCACCCATCCAATGACCGACCACTGCGAAAGTTGCTTAAATTCAACGATCGCTGCGGAAAGCGCTAACCACTTGCGCCATCGAGCTCCGTGCTTCGGAAGGCACGTTAAGCCGTTGGTCCCGGCTGCATCTGCAGTCGTTAGCACCCACCAACCCGCACTGGGCCCGCGTGGTGGGTCATGGCCCAATCTCCCTATTCCATCCATAGGGAAGCTTGTGCCCCAGCAGTGGGGACATAAGTTAACGTGGAAATCGCGGGCGGCCGCTTGTACTTCAATATATAAATGTTGGTAGGTAATAATTTCACTTTTCTAATACAGAGTGGAATAAAGCCTCGAGTAATAAATGTGGCGAGTCATTGCGGTCTGCAGCCGTTGCCTGGTTTTGCTACTTATAGTGCAAGCAAGGCAGGCTTACTGGGTTGGACGAAGGCGTTAAGACTGGAAACCAGACCATATGGCTTAGCTACTGTTGCTTTTGTACCAGGTGAAAACTGTTGTTTTGTTTGATTTGGAGTAGTTATATAACTACCTAATTAACTATAGCTTAAATGCGTCATCGTTTATGTTAACTATAAATGTAAATTAGTTTATAATTTAATTTGTAAATACTTAGACTTACGTTTGTAATAATTTTGAAATTGCTAAACTAACTTCAAAGTATATAAGGGGGCGTCCATAAATTACGTGAGATGTTTAAGGGGGGGAGGGGGTCGGGTCAAATCTCACCTAATCTTACGTTATAGAAAGGGGGGGGGGGGTCTCGGCAAATATCACGCATTTTTTGAAGTTATACTTCTTTAGGCGCGTTATAAAAAAATGATGAGAGTGAAATTTTAAGATGCGCGCGCATCGCTGTAACACAAAATTTTAACATAATGAAGTTGGTCGCTTTAGCGACTACATCTAAAAAAAAAATTGAACCTCACATGGTGGCCACTATGGCCACCCTGCTTTAACTACACTGTTCATTTCTCGCGCTTGTTTTCTGAGTCTGAATCTGAATCTGAATCTGAGTGCACTCTGGCCGTACCCTTACCCTTCGACTGGCAGTGGCGCTAAAACAAAGGACGGGCTACACTGCGTAAAAAATGCGTGATATTTGCCGAGCCCCCCCCCCCCCCCCCCTTTCTATAACATAAGATTAGATGAGTTTTGACCCGACCCCCTCCCCCCCTTAAACATCTCACGTAATTTATGGACGCCCCAGAGACAGGGACTGACGCAAAATGGCGTATTATGCGAGAAATTGTATTAAGCGTGATTGTATTAAACGGGTTCTACTGTATTTCAAAAAAAACTAAATAAGTGTGATTTATTCCGAAAATTGTACATAGTTTTTTGTAAAGAAAAGAAACACTAATTTTAGTACTAATTATGTACGAGTATTGACAAAAAAAATGGGTGCGTGTACTTATGTAGGCGCGTGAGAAGTTATCCTTCTTTGGCATCGTTTAAAATTAGTTTTTAATTGCATGCAAATAATTAATTACAATAAATTAATAAAAAGTCTGGAAAAGGACACAGTCAATAAAGTTCAGTTTTAATTTGAAAAAATAAATAAATAATCAAAATATTCAATTAAAATCGCTAATGAATATAATTTATTAGAACATATGTGATTTGCACTTGTATGAAACTCAAACACGTATTCCGAATATACAAACTAGAAACATGTGGATAAATATTATAAATATGAATACCTATAACTGTTACTTTATTACAAAAAATAAAGATGTGGTTTTTGGTTATACTACACCAATGGTCAAGAGATGGCGCTGTAGTCTCCTGAATCGCGCTTTGGTGCCGTTGTTCCAGATTAATAAATACTTTTGATAGGCCTTCACAATGCAGTCGTTAGCACCCACTAAATAGAGATTGTATTTCTATTTTGTTGGTAGATTTTCTTAATGTGCGGTAAACACAAAAGTAAGTAAGTTAAAATTTTGTGTTACAGTGATGCGCGCGCATCTTAAAATTTCACTCTCATCATTTTTTCATAACGCGCCTAAAGAAGTATAACTTCAAAAATAAATATGTTCTAAAATCAAATCAAATAGCGGGCGCTTTCGCGACTTCCTGTTACACACTTCCGTCCTATTTCACGAAATCACTCCCACAAATTGCAGGAAAGCGAGAGAAAAGATGTTACACATCAAAAATAACTTTAAAAATTGATATAAAATTTTAAACTTCTGTTTTTTTATTCAAATAACTAGTGGCCAGCCCGCGCTTCGCTTCGGTGTAGAGCTGTAGTGTAGACTATAGTTTTTGTTCTCAGGCTTGTATTATACACAATGACATTCTTCTAATTACAATAGGCACGCGCCACCAGGTGCCCCGCCCGGTAGCGTCGGAACCGCTATGTCCCTGCATTTTAAATCTGTAATATCTTCGAAAATATTCATTTAAATTACATGCGTTAAATAGCCAAATTGGTCTATATTAAATGCACAATGTATTTAAGGTACTGAATTGGATAAGGAAGAATGTTATATTGCTGAAAATCGCTTCGTAAATAATCTATTATTTCTCGTAAAAAGTATAGGATATAAAATGGTTATTGTGGGTTATCCCTAAGAGATAGACAGATACCATGGCGGACTTTTTTGTAGACATTTTTAAGGTATACAATACCGTAGTACAATATTTTGATCGATCTCGTAGGGTTCAGCCAGCGTTTGCAATGTAAGCGGAAAAACTGTGTTTATTTACGACCTTACATTAAAAACCTCTAAAATTATCAGTGTTTCCAACCGTTACACAAAAATAATCCTTATAGCATGATTCAGTATTCACGTGCGACGGCGCGATGGCTTATTTCATGTATAAGTTTGGTGTTTATATACCGATTTCTATGATTCTTTTTTATTGAATAGGTAATAATGTTAACTTTTTTAAATTAGGGATGAGTGAGAGTATTATAAACGTAAGAGTAAACAAATATAATCAGAATGCTCCGAACTGCTAAGCTATCAGGAGTTACACGTGTTATTGTGAGTCAACCATAAAAGATAGACATATGCTGTTGCGGGATATTTTTTAGACAATTTTATGTTAAATATTTCCGTCATACATGATTTCTATGTAACTTTAACCATTAAGGCTGCACACGCGACGGAAGCTTAAAAAAAGGAGTAACTTCTCCCGTTTTCCCAGCATTTCCCTTCACTACTCTGCTCCTATTGATTGTAGCGTGATGAAAAGTATACTATAACCTGCCCAGGAGTATGAACAATAATTGTACCAAGTTTCGTTAAAATCCGTTAAGTAGTTTTTGTTTCTATAAGGAACATACACACAGACAGACAGACAGACAAAAATTTTACTGATTGCATTTTTGGCATCAGTATCGATCACTAATCACCCCCTGATAGTTATTTTGAAAATATATTTCATGTACAGAATTGACCTCTCTACAGATTTATTATAAGTATAGAAGATATAGATAAATTAAACGAAATTTCTATGAAATTAACTATCTGGAACGAAATACATCGGGACCGTATATCCGCTTTCTCAACTACCTTTATTAGTGAGGTATTTAGTCAGCATTATGATAAAATTTTGTGTACAAGTTCAATTAATAACATTACTTTTGATGACCTCCGTGGCCGAGTGGTTTCTACGCAGGGTTTTATGGTGTCGCCTACTCTAAAGGTCCCGGAGTCCCGGGTTGGAATCTTGGTGGGGGCAGATGTTTGTGGGATGAAAACAAGCATTTGTTCCCCAGTCGTGGATGTTAAATATGTATTTCTATAGAAAGATACTTACATATATAATCAGTATTATGTATTCTATCCGTTACCCTAGTATCCCATAAGTAACACAAGCCTACAGTGCTTACTTTGGGGCTAGGCTAATTGGTGTGAGTGTTGGAAATATTTATTTATTTATTCCTTAAGATTTTACTAATTGTTCAGTTGCGTTGACGTTTGTTAAACAATTACTCTGAAATCAGTATCGTTAGATTCGTTACACAATATAGGTACCTATCCACCTTCTTAAAATTAAACAGTTTTTTTTTAATTTGTTAATTTCGCGAGGAAACTGACTTTTCTTTATTTCAGGCGGCTTCGTGGGTGCCAGTAGCATTATGTCGAACCAAACCACCCACGGCACTACAATGTTGGAACATTTAGATGAAGAACAGAAAACTTTTCATGGCAAAAAGCTTTCGGCCTTAAACAACTATTTGGGAGCAGCTCCACGTGACTGTAGTTTTGACTCTCTAAGAGATGAAAGGATTATTGAGAATTTTATGAAAATCTTGACCCACAAAAACCCTAAAGAATTGTACAAAGTAGAATCTTGGAGATACATGTTCTATTATAGTTTGTTAAAATTACCTCTCCCAGAATGTGTTCGTCATTGGTTATTGAAAAGATTCTTAAGTTTTCCTGAAGCATAATTCATATAAACTCAAGTGCTTAATTAAAGATATTGCCAATTATGCTTGTTTTATTATTATTTATTATACCATTTACCTAAGTAAGCGATTACACGTCCTTTTTTAATTCCGTCCCAATATTGTATTACCTAGGGAAAACCGTGGCAGAAAGTTTATATCACTTTCTCATTCTGCGAGGCAGTAAGTGTCTTCGAAACCAGACGTACCTACCTACGTGAACAATGTGGTACTACTTAAAAAGTGAGAATGTGTGGTACAAGTGTAGAAGGCAGCTGTGGACATCTTAGCACACAATCCTCTGGAGCACATGCAATGCATGCAAATAAAGGAGGTAAAACAGGCAAAAAGAAGTAAAAAACTTAGAGCTTGGGATTATTAACAATGCTTATAGCACGTCTCTGAACCGCGCATGCATGATCCATGTCAAAAAGAGCTAAAGAGCCAATCAACACCGATTAGCGTCAAAATTTGGCAGTAGGTTCTATTTACCCTCTGCTTCAAAGTTATCAATGTGCCGAGGGTTGCTTTTACCCTGGGGGTGTACGTACGTCACCCCTTCTCGGGGATGAAAAATATTTTATTAAAAACAAGAATGGAAATGGATAGGCTGACTAATTCTAAACAACTTTTTCAACATCGAAAGTGGAATCGTCAGCTTTTCAACAAGAAAAACCACATTTTTAGACGGTTTGTCATGAATAACTCTGTAAATAAGTAGATAAGTATTTTATTAAAAAAATCATTATAATTAAAATTATAGCTTATAAAAAAGTAATATCCAAAAAAAGTTTCTCGCTTTTGGAGTGATTGAAAAACTTTTATTTTTGTTTTTATGAAAGTTCCTACTATAAAATTAAAGGAGTATGATAAAGCGAAAATTGGTCCCTATTTTTCGGCGAATAGGCAGAAAAAGAGAATTTCGGCGAATAAGCGAATAGGCCTAGTGTGGAATGGGCCCAATTTGGAAAGCGCCTAGTGTGGAATGGGCCCAGTGCGGACGCTCCCGATCCATCACTCACCAAATAAAACTAAACCGTGTCCACAACCACCGCCGTCTGTCAGTGGTCGCCCACGTCGCTGCTTAACTAACTAGCCGTCCAGTTACCTAGCTAGTTGCCTTGCTAGGTTGTGAGGTTTTCGCCTAACCGTCCGAAAAGAAAATTCGTTCCAAAAAAAATTTCTCCAGGGAAAAACAGGAATTTTTTCACGATGCGCGCAGGCACTTGTTGTTACTTCCGTAGTCTGTGCACTTTGGCTGTATGGGCACAGTTCACTTTGCCTTCCAGAATGGGTAAAGAAATTTAAAAAAAGATGACAGTGACATTGTCGTAGGTATAAAAATCGTGCACATCAGTTTTTCGGTATATCTGTTTTGTGTAATAGATAAAGTCCCAAATAATTCATAAAATATTTATAAGTTACTGAAACGTGATATGAAAATACCAAAATTAAAGTGAAAACAAAATGGAAGTAAAATTTGGTCCCAATTCCGTCGATGAACCGGTACTTGTATATAAATAAAATCATTACCTAACAATACATTCATCAAATTAATAGTTACATTGTTACTTCAATTATATTATTATAAATTTAATATACATTTAAATATAACATTTTATCATGCCTCCTAATTCGAAACGTTACCGGAATTTAAATAATATTTTAAAAACAACCTATTTTTTTTCAGAATTTACTATACAAACTCCAAAGAAAACTTAAAGTTTTCAACACATCAAACACTTTGCCCAACCGTGGATACAATCTGGTCACTAGTTGTAGCAAATATGGTTTAGTGTTTGTTGCATCACCAGTTGGAACTCTAGCTGGTAATATTTCATGCAATTTATTATAGTATTCATTTTAGATTTTTTAAGGAACTAGTATTTATCAACAACTGACTGGATGAACAGTAACTACTCTACTAACAGTTTGTTTAAGTGAAGAGCAAAAGAGGGATAAACTGTACTTTCAGGGCCCAAGAGTAGACACTTCACAATTTTAGTTTATTATTATGGTGATTTGAGTTATTTAAAATTAAGAAAAACTCAAAGTTTTCATTTTAATTGTAAACAACTTCTTAAAACTGAGGTCATCCATAAAATATGTTAACAGTTAAAGATCATAATGTTAATTTCCCATTTTTGCTAACAGCATACTACCTAAATCAGCTAATTGACAAGGAATCTGAAGCTCCACATTTAATTGTTAAATTGCAAGAGAAACCAACTTACGTTGCAATAAATTGTGATCAAGAGCTTTTAGGAGTCACAGGAGGACAGTTTCTAGCCATTTACAAAGTGACTGACTTTCAAAATCAGGTACTGTATTCATTTATTACTAAAACTATTCATACCATTAGAAAATTTTAAATCATCAAATCAATCAATCCAATCATCTTGTTTTTCATACATTGCACTTTAGCAGTATTCCTGATACAAAGTGGAAGAAAGAGACTAGTACATAACACATACTAGGTTGAGCTCACATTAAGATATATGTATCACACTAAATAGCAGAAAAGTTTGTAAAGCGTTTTAAGAAATATCTATTTAACTTTTAGAATGTGTCACCATCAATGGGATTAAAGTTGGAGTCGAATCCTACAACATTTGTTTCCTCACTGCAATGGAATCCATGCATTCCCGATTCTATAGCTATTGCTTTCTATGATGGGACTTTACTGGCTTGCCAAGTTAGCACAAATCAAGTAAAAAAGATTCAATCTAAATGCAGGTAAAAACTTTATTTTCTCTTATCACAGTGGGAATTAAAACTAGATTTTGAACATAAAGAAATATGTTTTTCTTTTTTCAAATTTCGTATTTAAACACTTAGACAAAATCACATTAAAGTCTTTATCAAATATTTATTAAAGTTTATTATGTCTTGATGGTGAAAAATTGTGAAGTTTTTATAAAGCCTATTTATTAATATGTCATTGTCGATATTCAGATGTCTCTGTTGGAGCCCAAAAGGCAAACAGTTTGTCACAGGAAACAGTGACGGAAGCCTCACTCAATACAAACCAGATCTGACACCAGTGAAAACAGTGCCCGTCCCCAACTTGTTTGAGAATGCACCTGTGGAGGCTATGGCTATTTACTGGATATCAACCTATCAATTTGCTGTTGTCTTTAAAAATGCTTCAGATAACAGTCGCCCAGGTAAGGACAATTTTTTTCATCATTTAGTCTGTATTAGTTAAACCATACTTGTTTATACATTTGCAAAGATGATGTGCTAATGCAAAAACTGGGAAATATATCAAACAAATAATGTTAATTTAACAATTATAAATTTCACAATTAATTAGATGTAAATCTATAATCATTATTATCTAAACTTGGACAATTGTGATAAACATTGTAGTCCAAATCTAATATATAAAGTTAATTAAATTTTTTGCTCTTTCAGCTGTCACTATATTAAATACTCCAAAGGCTGGTCAGCCATCTTGTTTGAACTATGAAGATATTTGCTACAGCATAGGTTCAAATAGACCATGGTATTACTATCTTCAAGGATTAGCTCCATGGTAAAAATGCTGATATACATCATAAATAATATCACAAACATCAAAATGTTGACAAGAATTTATTATGCTCCCTCCTATTTCAGGAATATTATTCTTGCATCATCATCAAACAGTATGGAAATGGCTACTTTAGGATCAGCAGATGGCGCAAATTGGATGCAATGGTGTCAGGTATTTCAAATTATTCAGCTTTAAATCTGTTATTGAAGCTCAAGTTTGATTGTTCAAACTGACTTTGATGTAATTTTTCAGACTGATGAATCTAGACCAGAACTTCCCCTAACAGATAAAAAACAAGAGAACTATCCAGTTGGAATATGCATTGATACATGTGCAATTCATCAGTTACCATGGGGTATGTTTAAAAGCATAATTATAATTAGATCTCTCGTTTTAATTTTGCACACTAGCATAAAAACTTAGCGATGTGGAGATATAATCTCTGTAAAAATGAAAATTGTTTCTGTGAATTCAATGCTGAGTAAAATAATTTGTATTTTCAAAAAATGCATTTACAGAGGTTGTATACATTGTTCGAAAGTTCAAAATTATGAGCCACACAACGAAGCATGGGGTATTTTTTTTTACCGCACGTTCTGATACATGGAGGCGTGCGTATTCTTTACGGTTTTATTTCATTTTATTCGAACTTCCTTGGAAACCTTTTAATCTATACCTTTCTCTCACTAATACTAAAAAGAAAAAAGAGACGAACAATGTAGATCAAATTTTCACCATTTGCACTTGGAAATTCTTGCCATTTACGTTTTAGAAAAAGTTTGCTTCATTACTTAAAACTTGTTCGCGCAAATATGTTGGAAAACGTTGTATGATATTCGTGCAGAATTAGTATTTAAAAACTAGTGACTTAAGTAACACATCTGTTTATGACTTCCTCCATTATAATTTCTTTTACAGGGGAAAATGAGACTTTACCCCCAATGCCGATTCTGCTTCTCGTATCGCAGACTGGCTTACTCACTATATTTAATATCATCAACCTGAACAAGCAAGCAGCTCAGATTTGCTCGCCACCACAACAGCTAACCTTACCAATGGCAGTGATGACCACAGACATTCCGGATGATGTTCCACCTACTGTAACACAACAAGTTGTGCCTCCACAAGTTGTATTTCAAGCTGCTACTCCACAAGTTATACAGCCTCCAGCAGCTATAAAAGTGAGTATATACTTCAGGTAAGAAAACCGAGGCCCAAGCACGAATTTTGACAGCTCCATAAGATATAGTCATCATCAAATTTTGTATAGAAAAAGCTAGTTTGTTCTTACGTCCGATGCTGAGTTTTCATAGAAGCTTTGATGATGCGATACAATTCCCGAGCTGCCAAAAATTCGTGCTTGGGCCTCTGGTATCTATTTATGTACAGTAAGATATGCTAGCATACACAAAAATTGTATTCATTTATGTAAATACTGATTTATTAGCGAGGTTAAATCTGAAAGGAGAGCGCAATTTTTAAAAACAAATCTAATGCTACGGCCTAAGGTGCAAATATTTTGCCAGCTGACTGTTTCGATGAATAGATGAAGTGTTCATACAACAAGTATTTTACGTAATTTGCCACTTTTCGCTTGGCAACTCATTCCATCTGCAGCTTATTTGCAACGAATTTATGGCGATGAAGGTACGCTTCTACACAGCAAAAGCTAAAGCTGACTAGCCGACATCATATTGACTTTTGTATCCAGTTTGCAACTCTGAGTCTGTTTATTAACAGGCATCCACAAACTATACGTCTGGAATCGCACCCTTAAGGTGACTGCATAGTAATTTGTTTTGTATGTGTGTAATGAAACAACAAGTTTTAGAAATATCTTTTCATAGAAGATACACAGAGGGGTCAGTGACGTGGCATTAGTGTGGCAGTAGTGTGGAATACATTTGCGAAATAATTTCCAAATCTTTGTTTCTATCACAGACCTCTGCTCCAACTCAACCTTTTCAAATGGCACCTCAGATTCCTCAGCCAGTGCAAAACTCTGCATCTCAATTCGGTGCAGCATCTGCAGTAGCCAGCAAGCCGATGAACTTGCAACCACAAATAACACAAGGTATAATACTATTCAAAGTTTATGACAGTTATGAAGTTAGCAGCGAGCGCAACTATGCGCAGGTTTCACTTCAGTGAGCAGGTTCAGCGCGCACCTTGATCATTCTATACACCCCAGCAAACTTCTAGAGTGAGGACCATAGACAAGGAAGCCTGCGCTGTAGCGATTGTACATACAAAAACGTCTACTGCGCATGATTATTTATCTGCGGTTTTCCTCAAGAAGTTTGCAGCTACCCTATACATTTTGTTGACTGTTCCGCGACTTGTTCAATCTCCCAATTCCATCCATTGGGAAGTCTTGTAATTCAGAAGTTTATAGGCCGATTACACTGAATTTTCAACTTATAAATACTTTTGATATACACACGCCTATCACTTATGTTTTTGTTTTAGTAATCACCCCACAAGTTGAACAGAAGCAGCCAGTAGATGTCAAACCAACACCACAGGTCCAGCCTCAACTTACAATTCCCAATGTAAGTTTTACCTACTTCCGATCATATTTGATTGCTAGAAATTGGACATCTAGTTACTATCCTGCAATTGTTTCAATGAAATCTCAAAACATACTCATGTCAACATAACAAACTCTAGCCACCTTATTAATAAACGAGAAATTAGCTTAGGCTAGTTAAAAAAAAGAAAAGAAATAGAACAATTTCAATTGAATTGTTCGTTTATTAATAAGGGGGCATTAGCACATAATCTCTATAATTTTCATTAATATATCTGAGAATATCTGCAGATTTTTACAGTACGGAAAAAAAATCTTTGTGAATTATTGTAAGCGTTTGTATAGTTACTAGGCTATGATATCAATGTATCAGGTTCCAAAGCCGACGATTCAATCGGAAACAGCGCAGCCGACACCGCAAATGCAAGAAGCTTACGCCGCCATGAAGGCTGAACAGGATCGCATCAAAACAGCTAAAGCCAACCAGGAACTTAAGAATATGCTCATCAAGGAAGTGAACGACTTTCAAATGGAACTCTATAAGTTTATGGTCAAGACTAAACAGACACAGACTAAGGTATGTTACAATTTTAGCTCTTACACAATTAAAGTACATACTTCTGATGGGTCTAATTGATTGGGAAAACAAAGTTAAGGATCATGGAGTACTAATGACTAATTATGTAAGTTAGGATAGGACTTTACAAGATCTCTGAAGCGCAGAAAAATCCAAAACAATCCATTTTTGAAGGTAGAATATACTGGCTTAGCATAATAACGATAAAAAGAACAAACTGTTAAATTTAAACTTTCTACAAACAACATATTTTTTTTAAATTTTACTTATGAGAAAGTGTCTACAGCTACAAAGGTAATTTATTCTAGATCCAACAAGACATAGAAGCTCTCAATACGAATCTAAGCCTGCCAGTAGCGGACGCCGAACAGTTAAAGAAGGATTGCTCGTTGGAAGATTTGAGAGGCGCTATCATACAACTCAAGTTGGAATTAGTAAGGATGTGTGCAGTCGTTGCAGAAGCGAGAACACATGCAGAGTGAGTATTTGTGTCACTGTCCTTTTTTTAAAGTTTCAGCAAATGGAATGAAATTAAACATTATTCAAGTTAACTTATAAAAGCTATTTTGTATTGGACTCATAATTTTTCTCCTACTACCTGTTAAGGACATCTTTTAGCTGACGGCAAGAACAAATCATTTTAATCCCAATTCCCACGTAATGCCAAGTGTTAGTGGAGTTTAGTTGCAAAGATTGTCAGTCTGAACCCAATTCCCATACTTAGCAACTTCAAATAAAATAAGATTCGAGGTGTAGTAGTTTGTATCTATCTATACTCATATTATAAGGAGGTAAAGTTTGTGAGGTTGTAGGGGCCAATCTCTTGATCTACTCGACCTATTTAAAAAAATATTTTACCATTGTATACTCAATTATTTGCGAGTGTATATATCAGGGGTGGCCAACTAACTGGTCGATCGCAACTAGTTCAGTCGATCGTGGCAAGGCAAAGAATATATATACATAGAATAGACTGCGCATCGTAATCACAAACTGCTGCACACGAAATCTTCATCCTCTTTTCTATAGTGATATCTATGAAATGGCTTTTGCTATGGAAAAAAAAATCGCAGTAAATTTCAATTAGACCACATTTAATAATGACTGATGCGGATGAAGGTCATCTTCAGGTCTAGATATTGAGAGCATTGGTTTCCAACGAGAAATATCCAAATATGAGTTGTGTTGAACAACTGCTTTCGTGTTTTGGTTTAACATATTTGTGTGATTAGCATATTACTACTTACAAATAAAAAATAAACACCGTTCTCGCTTGAAATACGCTCATATGTTGGATTCTTTAAGGTTGGCAATTTCCAACAACAAACCTGATTTTGCTAATCTAGCTGAAAATTATCAAACACAATGCTCACAGTAATATAAATTAGTAGTTACTAAGGCTCATAATTCAGTTTTATGTTTGCCCTCTTAATAAAATAACGAAATACTACATACCTGAACTATGCTTCTTCATTTAAGATTTCAAGAAGTAAGTAATTAGTAGATCGCGCAGAGTTTCGACCCCTGGTATATATTAACCTGGTATAAATGAACACTTTAACGCGGACAGGTCGCGAGCCGCCAGTTGCCAGTAAATAAAAAAAGGACTTGGGTACTGCAGCTAATGCCATTACGTATCATATTTGTGTAGTCAAAATTGATTACGTTTTTATGTAACTATTTGTATTATTTTTGAAGTATACTAATTGCAATAATAATAATTTAAGTTGCAATGATTGATTCTTCACTGAAGTTCTAGAAGATGAGTGCTTCTCTTCCTCTATTGCAAGATAAGATTGCATTATTTTTAGGTCAATACAATTTCTTTTCCTTTTTTGTTTCAGAGCCAAGGATTTACAGCAATGGACTCAAGCCGACCCGCTTACTACAAAACGTGTAACATCCGTGAAGAAACTCATATACTACGTTCAGAATCAAGTAGAACAAGCACAAAAGGCGTTGGAACACAAGTGGAACGAACACGCAATTAAAGATCCGAAGTCTTTCAAGTAAGTACTTTACTTACCTATGGGGCATTCCACGTGAAGCGGACAGGTAAAAAAACTCGATGTTTCCGATTTCAGTAATATTTGAGTATGTTCTACTTATACTTATTATTGATACGTATACTAAATATTTTTGTGATATAATGACTAGTTAAAGAGTAATGGGACTTTGAAGTTTTCGACAACCGGTTGGCATGCAATACTTCAAAGCCGATTATGGACTCATAAAATTATATATTAAAATAACTAAACCACTGGATTTCCAACTTTATTTACTGGGCTTTTTAACTGTGTTTTTGGAAAAGAAAAAAAAATTTTTTTTTCGTAAAAAAAAACCAATTTAAGTTTTTTTCCTTAATTTTCACCAAGTTAGACCATTTAGTTTTTTTTTATTTTTTTTATATAAATTGCTAATATTGTATAGAACATTGGTGCCAACTTTTATAATGGGCGTGAAAGTGGATTAGGAGCTAGACTGAAAATACTGCCGAAGGGTGGCGTCCAGCGCCGCGCCTGTTGACCGCCGCTTGTGCGCGATTAGTCATCAAACTGTCAATCAAATAAAATCACTTTTGACGGAATGTTTTGTAGATTTTTAATAAAACCAATACATAGAAAAAATCCACGCGGACCAGGCAGCAGACGGGACTCGAACCCGCACCCTTCGCAATCCGGGCGAATGCACTGACCAATTGTGCTACCGCGGCCCTCACGGACCGCGTCGAAATTCCTCTAGCCATTCTTAAGCAGCAAGGCAGCGCTATCTCTTCGCATTATAGGTAATCCACAGTCCATAATTCACAGGCCGCAGTAGCATAATTGGTCAGTGCATTCGCCGGGATTGCGAAGGGTGCGGGTTCGAGTCCCGTCTGCTGCCTGGTCCGCGTGGAATTTTTTCTGTGTATTGGTTTTATTAAAAATCTACAAAACATTCCGTCAAAAGTGATTTTATTTGATTGACAGTTTGATGACTAATCGCGCACAAGCGGCGGTCAACAGGCGCGGCGCTGGACGCCACCCTTCGGCAGTATTTTCAGTCTAGCTCCTAATCCACTTTCACGCCCATTATAAAAGTTGGCATCAATATTCTATACAATATTAGCAATTTATATAAAAAAAATAAAAAAAAACTAAATGGTCTAACTTGGTGAAAATCAAGGAAAAAAACTTAAATTGGTTTTTTTTTTACGAAAAAATATTTTTTTTTCTTTTCCAAAAACACAGTTAAAAAGCCCAGTAAATAAAGTAGGAAATCCAGTGGTTTAGTTATTTTAATATATAATTTTATGAGTCCATAATCGGCTTTGAAGTACTGCATGCCAACCGGTTGTCGAAAACTTCAAAGTCCCATTACTCTTTAACTAGTCATTATATCACAAAAATATTTGGTACACGTATCAATAATAAGTATAAGTAGAACATACTCAAATATTACTGAAATCGGAAACATCGAGTTTTTTTACCTGTCCGCTTCGCGTGGAATGCCCCCTATTTTAGGTTGGAGCCCTTTGATGTCCACTGATATTTCACTTTACTACTATTGTACTTGCAGGGGCGTATTTTAAATTCTGGCGGCCCGGGTGCAAATTCACGTTTTGCATTCTTCCCCCTCCTGGAATTAGTCAATTAATTAAAAATATAGATCTGTAATTTATATGGCTTTAGCAGCTCCTCTCAGCCTGCCACCCTGGGTCATGGCCGTCTTGGCTCTAGGGTAAATACGCCCCTTAGTACTCGCAAGTAGGCAGCCGTACTATTTTAATTTTCAAGTTTACTTGTGACATGAGTCATTCTCACTTTGGTACGATGTAGCCTATAGCTTCTGTTTTCTATGAATATATTTAACTTATGAACTTCCCGTTAAAAATTATCGAACTAATTGTCAACACCACGTTAGATGAAGTGAAGTAGTGTTCACAGTGTGACTGCAGAACGACTAAAGGTAGCAAATTATTAGTCGCCCGTCATCTTACCAGCCATTGCAAAAGTTCCCTAACTTTCACATGCCCTGGCAACGAATTAGAAATGATATGGAAGCATGACTCACTAACAGAGGCCGCTAAAACATGGTTCCTATCTCATACAACTAATCTTCAATATTAACGTGACTCGCACACAGAAAAAACAAAATACTTAAACAAATGAAATATCCCCAAATGAATTCAGCTATCTATTCATTGGGCAAGATAATGTGACGCGGAAATCCCACCAATCCCATAATCGGCGCATTGATCGCATTTTATTCGCCCCGCCCACTTGATCTCTGTTTGAGTGGAACCACTTTTTAGCGCAGTTCGTATTCCATATTATTTCTAATTCGTTGTGCTCTGGCGACTATACCATCATCGCTCGCGAATCAATTCAGAATGCGACAATTCCAGGCCCGGCCAGTACATGACCCGCCCTATACTGGACGATGTATACCAACCGCTAGTGAAGCAACAAGAGATCTTATCGAGGCAACAGGCTGTACTGAGGTCTCTCAAGAACACACTAAAGGAAGTCGATTCGGTGCCCACGTTCAAATCCACATCGTTGTTGAGGAGCACGCCCTTCAAAAATAAGTAAGTCGAATTGCAATCAATGTATCTTTACCAACCAACCACCATATTATTATGTATCTTACTTAACCTATTTAGTCATATAGAGATAACATGCTAATTATTTTAATTCGTTATACAGATGTTACAAAAATACAAATAAAGCTTGAAGGGCGTTGAAGTACACCATATAAGGAGTCTTCTCTAATTTTCTTAAAATATTTGCATGAAGTTTTAACTCTTTATAAAAACAATTATATTTGATGATCCTCGTACTAGTGATCGATATTTTTATTAATCATTAAAAATAACTGTTTTTATAAAAAAAAAGTTAAAATTTCATGCAAATATTTTAAGAAAATTAAAGAAGTCTCCTTATATGATGTACTTCAACGCCCTTCAAGCTTTGTAACACCCTGTATAAATGTCGAAACAAAGAATTATAATATTTTGATTTAATGTTATCAATCAATGGCGATAATAATGTGAATCTCGAAATAATCTATAATTCGTGGTATTCTCCTAGTAACTCCATTAAAGGCAGTTTCAATAAATCATCCTCCAGTAAAAGCTAAGGATAATCTGGTTCCGTTTCTTAGCAGCAGTTGTTATTTAACATCTAAATAATAAAAATATCGAAGCAACAAAGGCCTATCTCTTATTGATATTTGATTATTGAATCAAAATGTCATTAATATTGATTAATCTTGAGTAGTGTTTTTCTAGCAACTTAATAATTATTAACAACTTTACAATGATTTGCCTTTTTTGTACCATCGAAATTTGGAGACCCTAAAAAATAATTAAGGTTTTTTTTAAATAAATCAAGATTCAATTGCTTGAAAAGCGTGAGATACAATTAGTGAGGCCGCACTAACCAAACTATCTCCAACTTACCAAATGTCATCTTAATTATTAATATGTCAGCGGTGTAAGCCTCAATAAGTAACAGACAGACAGACACACTCGCATTTATAATATTAGTATGGTTGTAATAAGTATTAGTGACTTCCTAGTCAGGTCACACAGGTGGTAGGTTAGAAAAGAACTTCCAATTAATATTTGCAGGGACCCCCTATCGAAGCTCACGAAAAACATTCTGAACATGAGCATCGAACCACAGACCAAAACCAAACAGCCTTTACTGAGTGCTCAAAAGTTAGACGCGCTCAGGGACATGCTATCCAATCACAAAACTGTGAAAGTGAAGCCTGTTAATGTGGAACTGAGGGAACAGCTTGCATCGATGAGACTGAATTACGAAAAGAGTTTGAAGGAGAGAACTGCCCAAGAGGCAGCTCCACAAGTCAAAGTTGAACTGAAATTATTCACGCAAGAGATTAAAGCACCACATGTTCAGGCAGCTCCACCAGTCGGTAAGTAATTGGTATTTATGAAAAAAATCCATAAATAAATAAAGAAAAAAGAATTATCCTCTGTAACACCTCTTCTCAAGATTCGTAATTCCGTATAAATAAAACCTATTTTTGAACTGGTATAATTCGGGTGTCTATTTTAGTAATGTTTAAAAGTCTTTTATCGAAGATTGGTACGCTTAAAAACATAAGGATTAAAAACGTACCAAACTTTTTATATAAGTTAAATGTCTCTTTTAGTTATAATTTTAATTTTTTAAGCATGTTATTGCTTGTGTTTAAATCTAAAGAAAATATAACTAGAAAAAAATCCACGCGGACCAGGCAGCAGACGGGACTCGAATCCGCAACCATCGCTATCCGGGCGAATGCACTGACCAATTATTCTACCGCGGCCCTAATGGCCGCGTCGAAATTCTTCTAGATATTCTTAAGCTGCAAGGCAGCGCCAACTCTTCGCATGGTAAATAACCCACAATGTCTCCTTTATTTAAGCTCCACCTGCTCCAGTGGTAAAGTTTGAACCAAAGCCAGATATCATCAAACAAACACCAATAAATGTGCCTTCATTCACTCCTATGGCCAGCAGTATCAAACCAACAGTGCCTGGTCTAAATAATGTCGCCAGAACCCTGTTTACTGATGGTAAGTTTTAAGTACTTTTATAATAAGTTTAAGCATTAAACTGCTAGATTAAACTGATAGAATTGGAGGGCGCAGGTTCCAATCCTGACTGAAATTTCGACTACCTCCGTGGCCGAGTAGTATGTACGCCGCGTTTCAAGGTGTCGCCTACTCCTTAGGTCCTGGGTTCGAATCCTGTTGTGGCAAATGTTAATATAATAAAATTAATACGAGCACCTAAGTCATGGACGTTTAGATGTTTTTCTATATATCAAAAGATTCTAGATCTATTAGTAGATGTATTCTACCCGTTACCCTAGTATCCCATAACACAAGCCTTTCAGTGCTTGACTGGGCTAGACTGTGTGTTAAATAAAACCTGAACCGACTAGATATTTTCTAAATTTACAACGCTATTACTAAATGATAGCAGATCGCTATGTAGAACATTCCAATGCTGGATTTCATGAAGTAATATTTGTTCCATCTTTTAATTTGCTCATAGAACCGAAGCAGGAACCGGTGAAAGTAGAAATTCAACCGAAACCACCTCAAGCAGTTAGTTTATTGGCTCCCAAACAGCAACTTGGGACCTATCAACCACCAACTTCACAACAACCTCAGCCGTTTGCCATCTCTACTACAGTTGCATCTTCTACGAACACAAGAAGTGTTCTCAAAGTATTGTTGCAAAACAAACAAGCCAATGCAAACGCCGAACCGAACGCCGTCGCTTCAGCTAAAAATGATGCGAACACATTCATGGGTCAAAAGATTTGTTCGCCTTCTGCTTTCTCATGTAAGTATTACTTATAATTTTAAAAATAAATGTGTAACTTAATTGGCGTTGTTGAGAACTTTAGACTTAGTTTTATTTATTGACTCATACGCAATGGTTGTAATTAAATACCCCCAAATTTTTCAGAAAGGTAACTTGAAAATATTTTCAACTAAATATTTCAGTTGCAGCATCAACACCTGCCACAACCGCTTCTTTTACTGCAAAACCGATATCTGATATAAATAATATGTTTAGTAAATTCCAATCTACGTCTTTCACTTCGGAATCTAAACAAGCAATCAACATAAGCCAAAAGTCGTCCGAAACAGGGGAACCTGATGTGTCTATTATAAATAAGGTAGAACCTAAAAGCGGACCAATACCCGTCTCCAATACATTTAGTGCCGAAACTTTTATGCCACTGACAACAAATAAAGAAACTACGGACACAAAAGAAGTGTCCAAAACTGAAACTAAGGCAGCAGTGAAAGTGGTTTTGAAAGCTCCTGAAAAATCCAAAGAGAATGTACCAGAAAACTCTAATGAAAATATCCCACAAGAACCAACGAATCTTCCTGTAGAAAGTAAAGAGGCTGAAACAAAACCAATTATTACACAAAGTAGTATTAACTTGTCTAATGTTTTTAGTAATGCTACGCCATCTGTTTTTGCTTCTGCAAATGCAACTGTTACTAGTAAGTATTTAACTACATACTATTGTTTGTCGTTATGAAATAATTATAAATATCTGCGATTGTAACATTATTATAATGGCCAATACAATTTAATTCATTCATTCAAATAGCCGGTATGAATAATCTGATAAGAAAGTGTTTTTATTATAGGTGAATCTCAAAAACTGGCTGAAGTAAAAAATAATGTTGAGGTCGAAGCTCCTGTAAAAACTCCCGAAAAGACCGATATAAATGAAACTAATGCTCCTCAATCTGTTTTTGCTCCCGCATTGGTTTCTACGTCAGGTATATTTTTATATAGTACTTAAACTTATTAATAAGAAGAAAACATTTTATTTTCTAATTTTGACTTTTTATTTCAGTGGAAAGTTCGTCTAGTCCACAATCAGCACCGACGTCAACTACGTCTATATTTGGTACTGCACAACCAAAACCATCAAACACACCTACTGATACTTCGAATCCATCTATATTCGGGACTGGCACAGTGTCATCCGCATCGTCCATTTTCTCAGCCGCAGTAGCTTCACAACCTAAAACTACCACCCAATCGGGTTCCATATTCAGTACATCAACTTCACCGACAGCTGCAAGCATCTTTGGATCAAGTGCTATGGGATCTATTTTTGGCACCACTACCACTACAACTTCCAGTTCATTGTTCAGTACTACTACTGCTTCAGTTTTTAGTAGTGAAGCGAAACCCTCAGTATTTAGTACTACTCCAACTACAACGACAACTGTTTTCGGAGCGACGTCTCAACCTGCTCTTGCATCTTCAGCAACATCTGTGTTTTCAAGTGCTTCTACACAACCTTCCATTTTCGCTTCGGCAGCAACGGGTTCTATATTTGGTTCAGCCACTACTCAATCTTCGGTATTTGGCACATCTACCGCCACTACGAATACTTTTGGCACTACATCACAAACTTCCGTATTCGGGTCTGCTGCAACAACAACAACTGCTGCTTCCAGTGTTTTCGGTACTGCGACTACCCAAGCTTCGGTATTTGGCAGTCCAACTACTACAACGCAAAGTGTATTCGGCACAGCCACAGTTACTACTCAGGCTTCTCTCTTTGGGACTCCAACGAGTCAACCTTCCGTTTTTGGTGCACCTACGTCTTCAAACCAAGGATCTATATTTGGATCGCCTTCCACTCAAACCTCGGTGTTCGGAACACCGCCTCAGTCCACTGAAACTTCCGTATTTGGAACCCCAACGCAAACAACACAAGCGTCTGTATTCGGAACCCCGACGCAGACAACACAAGCTTCTGTATTCGGAACCCCAACGCAAACAACTCAATCGTCTGTATTCGGAACCCTAACGCAAACTACTCAAGCTTCTGTATTCGGAACTCCAACGCAAACTACTCAATCATCAGTGTTCGGAACACCCCCAGCTACAACTGCGCAAAGTGGTTCGCTGTTTGGAGGCGCTGAAAGCAATCTGTTTGCTGCTGCGAGTATTTCAACCACCAGTGCGCCGTCTCAAAGTAGTGGAGGAAGCATTTTTGGCAGGTAATAGAAATATCGAGCTCAGACCACTGATTGTTTATACTTAACTCCTATCGCAATACTTATCAATTAGCCTTTTTTTTTAAATATTTACAAACTTCCATCGGATTAATACCGTAGTGTAAATTGTGGTGTAATAAAGGGTGGGTTTTGTAGTCTTTATTGTTTGAATAATTTACTTACGTTTGTTAAAACCTCTTCGCACTACATTTAAATATTAGTAGCTTTATGACAGATTCGAGAATTCAAGAGATATTTAAATGATAAATTATATTATAGTTTACCTTATTATATATATATTTATAAATTTACCTTGTAAATTTTCAATATCAGAAAAATATCAATATAGAAGAATATCAATTCAAATAGATTCTAATTTAATTATCATTCATCATAATTAATTATTCTTTATTCAAACTAAAATTAATTAGCCCTTTATTATTTATCTTGTAGCTCACCGGGATCGGTATTTGGCAATGCCAGTGGTGGAAACACGAACGTTTTCGGTGGTAAATCTACATTCGGCCAGGCGAATCCTTCAGCCGCCTCTATATTTGGCGGTGGCGCGGCTTTCGGTCAGAAACCTGCCACCAGCTTTTGGTCAGGTGGTAACACTGGTACTGGGACTACGGGATTCGGATCCGGATTTGGTGAGTTCCTTTTGCAAAACGATCCACGTTAACGTTCATATTTCAAATTATTTACATTTCAGTATCTAGCACAAAATACCTATCCCTCCATTTGTGTATGTCTTATCCCGGCACTTCACCTGGCTATTCGTGTTTGCAATTTACAAACTATCCTTCTCATTCCTTATAAAGCATAATAAGAACAGTCTGTTTTCATGTTTACAAATAGCCAAGTGAAGTGCCGGCATTAAAAACTCTTTCGGTGTCGTAAAGGTATGACATGACACCTTAGTGCCACGTTAATATTACGTGTCAATTTGAACAAATGTGTTAATATTATCTATATAATAGTTTGGGGGAAAAAGTATTTTCGCATTATAGTATGTATGAACTTGTAATGAAATCTTAAGGTTTTGGTAGGTACCATTAAAATGTTTAGATTTTAAAGAAGATAATTCCAAATTCAAATTAGGAAAATGTGTAATTTTCATTTGTTTTTCTTACTCTAGTACGTCTACTCTAGTCTAGCTGAGTGAATCTAATGAAGAAATACGATACATTTAAAAACTTTGCTACTAAAAAGGTAAAAATGCAACGCAAGCTGTTAAATAAATTTGTGATGTTTATGGACCTAGTGCACTGTCTGTGAGAGTAACACAAATCTGGTTTAAGCGTTTTCAATCCGGAAATTTTGATGTCAAAGATGCACGTCGCTCTGGTCACCCTGTCATGGCTCAGACTTCACAGACTCTGGCGAAATCCGGGTTTATTCGCAACAAGGTGATGGTGTGTATATGGTGGGATCGGAAGGGCATTATTCATTATGGGCTGTAACCGCCACGCAGGACCATCGATTCTGAACTTTACTGCGAACAACTAATGAGAATAAAGCAAGAAGTTAATTAACAGAAGGGCTGTGGTTTTTCATCATGATAACGCTAGACCTTTCACATGTTTAGCCACTCAGCAATAATTAAGAGAGTGTGACTGGGAGGTGTTAATGCATCCGCCGTGGAAATCTGAAGGTGCAAGGTCAGGAATAGTCCTGTTTTGGACTCTTCAGAATCTTGGCAGTATCATATTCAGATTAACATCAGAAGGGGACTGCCAAAACCACTTGTCGCGGTTTTTTGATCAGAAGCCCCAAAAATTTTATAGCAATGGGATCATGTCCCTACCTACAAGATGGCAAATGTTATCGAACAAAATGGCACCTACATACTTAAGTTAAATTTAAATAAACTTTATTAAAAAATGTTTTGATTTTTCATATATTAAATGCGAAGAAACCTTCCCCAACCTAATACGTTGATCTATAATATTCTCAACGCCGCTCGGATGTTACCTGTAAGTACCCTTAGCACGAACCAATATCGAATTCGTTACGTTTGCGAGTACGAATCTTTATCGAGAAATTTGAATGAATACTTGAAAAGCGCTGCAACGGACATAACGATATTTAAACAAAACGGATACGAGCTGTTCAAATTCGATAGAAGTAAAACCTACAAAAATGTGGACACATAAAAGTCCTTCATGACTAGGTACTGTAAAATACTGGGCAAAAAATATATTCTATATTTAAATTGTTATGAAAAATAAATAATAGCTATTAAGCTAATATATAATAAATAATAATAATAATAGCTTAATAGCTATTATTTATTTTTCATAACATTTTATTAAAAAGAAAAAAATATATATTACCGAGTTCAAACCACCGATCATTTGTTGTCGACCCCTATATAGTTTCCGTTCGGCTATCTGTCTTTTGCAGAGAATTTCAAAATTACGGATACCTTGTGTCAAATACTGTCGCTTTTTCGTTTTATCGAGTTTCAAATCACAACGGCAACGGTGCTAAAAAAGTTTTCACTCTAAAAATCAGTAGCAAGAACTTCTTGACAATTGACGTGTATCGAGATCGAATTCAACTATTCGAATTCGATAATGGATGGAATAGAATCGTGCTTAGGGTACTGATGAACTTTTGATAGGCTATTGGGAGTATTTTTGTTAATTGTATGTCATTAGCCGATTATATTTATAATAATGTCAATATTTAGGCCAGCAGCCGTCAACGCAAGCTTCGTCGATTTTCGGTGGAACATCGGGAGGTAGTTTTAGCACGCCCTCTCCTGCAGCACAGCCGTTTGGAAGTCCCCAACAAACTGCATTCAGTGGAGAGAATAAACCCTCTGTCTTTGGATCACCGCAGCAACAAACTGGTAATTATAACTACAAGAAAAAGTTGCACTGCATGTTCTACTCATCGCTTTTTGAGGTGATATCGACAAATGTTTTGCCAATATACAGGGAACTATAACGACCGCAAGTGCTTTATCAGTCGATCTCGGTAAGAATATGCCGATAAACATCCATTCACAGATTATGTATTGTAGGTATATAAGTAAAAGTTCACCGTATTTGATATGAATTTCAATTTAACACCTCTACGCGTTCATGACAAACTTAAAATTTTTTCAAAAATATTTTTTATTATATGATGTAACTAAAAATTATCGCAATTTTTCCTTTATCTGTACCATATTACGTTACAACGTACCAAATTTCAAGATTCTAAGTTCACGGGAAGTACCCTGTAGTTTTAGATTCCCGTGCGAGTTTCGATAATTTGCAGCATAAACGGCTGTATCTTTTTGCTTTGGCTTAGAAGTTTGATTTTTTCACAGCTCCAAAAGACAGTAGACCTGGGTATTAGATATGAATTTCAGTTTGATACCTCTACGCGTTCCTGAGAAAAACGGTCTTGACAGACGGACGGATGGACGGACAACAAAGTGATCCTATTAGGGTCCCTTTTTTTTCATTTTGAGGTACGGAACCCTAAAAAGGCCAGAGTCGTCAGCATTTTCCTTTATCGTATTGACCCCTTGCTGGTGGCGTCCTTGCATCACATACGTTTATGTATTTGCAACCTCTCTGAGTCTGTAGAAAGAGAGAGTAAAATATGAAAGTTTCTTTGCTTGAATGTTTGTTACTCAATCACGCGAAAACGACGGAACGGATTTGGATGAAATTTGGCACACAGGATATCACATGAATTAAAACATATAGACAATTTTTATCTCGTAAATATTTTTGTTCCGTAAAACATACCACTGCTTTACGGAACAAAAATATTTACGATTTATTCTTATAATACAGAAGGTAGATAAACATTATGTGAATACTTCGTCTGTTGTATTTATACTGATTTGAAAAATGATTATTATATCTTTTTCTCGTTTATTTTTTTTTATCACGACATACTTTGTTGCAGCGCCTGCTTTCGGAGGGTCTCCCGTATTTGGATCTAAACCTGTATTTGGACAACCATCTGGGTAAACTTCAATCTTTTTACATTGTCTCTGTTTTATATTAACATACCACATTTTGTTAAAAAAAAATCAATCAATGTTTGAACCTTAATAGTGATCAATATTCTTTCATAACCTTCTTGAGAAAAACCACAGACAAATAAACTTTCGCAGTGGGCGTTCTTGTATGTAAAAATGCTACTTCGCAGGCTTCCTTGTCTATGTTCGTTGCTCAAGAAAGTTACCTGTTGCTGACTACATATTTTTGCTACAATAGTATCTGATATGTAATGCAACTTGTCGAATTAGCTTTATAGTCAAGACTATGTGATGTGGATAGAATTTGTGATTAACTGTTTCTCGATTGCTTGTTCATAGTTCTATGGCTATGGCTTACGATTTCAATTTGTTATTTCTGACCGCCCCGAAGCTCTTCAAATACTCACGCTCATTTTCTTTAATATTGTTATTACCATTTCAAAAGAAAAAAAAAGCGTGAAGCATTTGAAAAACTTCGACGGGCGGTCAGAAATAATAAAATGAAATCATAAATTATATAATATAGCCATAGCAATACCAGGCACCATATATAATATAGCCATAGCAATACAGGCCCGCTGAGCCGAGTTGAGTTGAGTTTTTTTAAGTTATAATGTTCTATAAACAATAACACGTATTGAAATTTTCAGTTTCGGATCACCACCGGCCAGTGGATTCGGCTCTTTCGGTGGATTCAATAAGAGTCCCACCGGTTTCGGTGCCCCCGCTAGCTTTGGGGGTGGTGCTTCATTCGGCGGTACACCGGCTTTCGGCAACACTTCACCTAGCACAATGTTTGGAGGCACTTCCTCGGGTACGCAGATCATCATATTATCATTCATTATCATCATCATCAGCCTATTGAATGTCCCCACTGCTGGGGCACAGGCCTTCCCTATGGATGGAATAGGGAGATTGGGTCGTGACCCACGACGCTGAACCAAAGCGGATTGGTGGGTTTTAACGACTGTAGAAGCAGCCGTGACCAATAGCTTAACGTGCCTTCCGAAGCAAGAAGAAACATCGAGGAGCACACGATATAGGTTTGGACTTTAGACAATAGCGATTTCTGCCTTTAACTATGCTCTAATTTTGGTATTGAAATTCGGTTCGGTTAAAATCTACTTTGTATATTCAGTCCATTTTCATTTCATTGCAGAGTAGAGAAACAATTAAACTTACCTTATTCCTAAACACAGTTCACCAGATAACACTTTACGCTGTGACCAAGACTGATATTTAAGTTACTAAACATTACGACAATATTGTATTTCACATAATACTCAGATCGTCAATCACAATCCCCTTATTAATAAACGAAGAATGAGCTCGAAATAGTTACTCTATGTTTTGTCTCTGTTCATTAAATGACAAATTGCACTCGGAGTAATATGAACAAAACACGGCGTTACTAATCTAAGCTTATTCCACGTTTATTAATAAGTCGGTTATTATTTTACACAGGATTTGGACCACCGACACAGTCAAATGCGACATTTGAAAATTTAGCTACTCAAAACACGCTGACGTTTGGTAACTTGGCTCAACAATCTGGCCAGCAACCACAAGCTGCACCTAGCTTCAATACGTGAGTATTCTGCTATATCACCATCCTTCATCATCAGCCCATAAATGTCCCCACTGCATGTGCACAAATGTCCTTCCTTATGAATGGAATAAGGAGACTAGGCCATGACCCATCTCGCTGGGCCTGTACGGATTGGTGACTGCAGAGGCAGCCTTGCCATTGGCTTAACGTGCCTTCCAAAGCACGGAGGAGCTCGAGAAATAAGTTTTTGGTCACCTATCCAATAACCAACCATTTTGAAAGTAGCTCGACTTCTATGATCGCAGGCCGAATGTACGTATATAGTTTATCACGTGGATTGAGACCAGGCATATATATTCATGTCTAATACTTTTTCATCCCGGATTTGATGACGCGCGCGGAACCTAGTTAGACATAGTCAAGAAAGCATACCTGTAAGCGTCTAATGACCTTGCATTTATGCGAGCATTTAGTCGAACAAAATCGAAATATTCAAATTGTAACTTTGTCATTATCATTAATAACTAGCTGTCCCAGCGAACTTCGTACCGCCTTGATAAAATAGGGGTTGGTGGTAGAAGTGTGAAAATTTAGGGTTGTATGTATTTTTGTATGATGTATCATAAAAAAATAAAACAACAAAATTTGTCCAAAAAAATTTAAGGGTGGACCTTAACATTTAGGTGGATGAAAAATAGATGTGGTCCGATTCTCAGACCTACTGAATATGCATATAAAACACGACACGAGAATTTTATATGAGTATTAGATTATAAATCACAATAATAAAGTAATAATGTCTTCACAGGTCTCCATCATTCACTGGGTGGCGAGGCTGATGACAGCATTTCAAGGAGCGAGCGGCAAGGATGAAACAGAACCATTGAACAGACAATAAATAGTTTAAAAGTGACATTCTGTGTTAAATTGGTGAACTGTTTAATGCAATTTTTATCCTACTTATATGCATGTCTTGACTGGTCTAACGGTCTCTGGGAGGTTGTTTTTATTTATGCTTAAACTTAATGCTGTCATGTCACTACCATTTCAATAGCAATAGTACCTACATGGTAGTCTAAGTCCTGCCGTAAGAGTTAACAATTGTTTTTTATGTAATCCTTGGTTGGCCTTGGCTACTAAACAGATAACCCTTTAGTGAACTTTATTTTAATGTAATGTGTTACTATTGGTGGTCTTTTCGCTTAAAACGATTTCTTCTAGACAACTGTACATGCTATGTTTGCTATAAATGAATATGATAAACAATTGTAATGTAAACATATTTACATACTATATGTACTCATGACCATAGATATTGTATATTCAAATTTAGAGCTTAACACCCTAAAGGGAACATAATCTTATCATAGGGGTGCTAAAGTTCTTTGAATAAGTAGATTAACCGTGGATTCATTACTGCTAAGTATCATAATGAGAAATTTACAGAATTTATAGTAACAGTATTAACCATTACTTACTACCATTACATTAGGCCATACTTTATCGGCGCGTTAGTTTTGTTATCGTTCCAAGGCTAGACCACCGATACCGGCATAAGGCTGCAAGTAAAGGTAATGATTATGATATTGAAAAACGAAGCAATATACAGCCAGTATTAGATTAGATAAAGCAACTAAATCCAAAATTAAATCATATCTATTGTGTATGCATGCAAATTAGTAATAAAGTAGAGGAGCAGGTCCTATTGATTATTTCAGAAACATCAATCTGATGCTGACTGGCAATACATACAAGTACATAGACAAACAAATTGAAACAAGGGTTTCCATTAAGCATTGCAAGCAGCTATTCAAGTTTCAAAGTAAGACTTTTTAAGAGAATGTTATTATTAAATGATGTATAATTGCAGGACTAATAAAACAATGTATAAAAAGAATCAATTACATTTTATTGTTTTATCCCTATAAATATACCATAATATTTACGAATTTCGTATACCTAGTTAAAAAAAAAAACAGAGAAACAATACACAATAGAAAAATAAATCTTAATTTGAAATATAAAATGTAAATTTTATGTGAGTCTACCAAAATATTTGGCCCTGTAACAAACATCTCTCAATTGTGGCCATTGAACAATAAAAATATCTGCAATATATTGGAGTATCTTCCCACTTAAAGATAAGGTTCTTATTCTACAGATACTCTCAATAAAAACTATTCTACAATCTATGATAAAAAGACATCTGAGGACAAATGCAACTACACAAATTGGTATACATGTACCAGGACCATTACAAAAAATTACATTTGGCTTAAAATTAAAAACAATTGGAACACAAAACATTGTGGCATAAACTGTACTGAAAACAGATGACAAATATGACTGGGATACATTTCTGCTACGTGGTATTCGGTTAAATGCATAATCTGTGTGCCTGTCTTCAACTTCATCTATTTTAACTTTGCTACTGATATCATTTTCTGCAAGAATATAAAGACGGTGGCAATATTTGTCAAAGTTTAAATTCTTCACAAGTCTCATAAGTTCCATCGTGTGTCCTCCAGAACCAATACATAAAATAGTCTTCAATGACTTTTCGCATGTCAACCTGCAGTCTGAAGTATGGATCTTAAAAATCAAGTATATGGCTCTTAAAAGAATGAAAAGTACAGGAGAAAATAACAGACACGGAATTATAGATATGCATGTATCCATAGTGCTCGTTGCCGCTCGTCCTATCATATCAACAATATATCACGATTTCCAATTTTCCCCAAATGTCGAACTAATGTTAAAGATTAAAGACATAAATAAATTTTAAATAAAATTCTAGAAGCGGTATATTTTTCACATCGTCCCTGAATTCCGAGTAGATGAATATTTTTCTGTCTCCCAACAAGCAAACCTATTCTCAGGTTAGATTAGGTTAAGTTATTTTTGTTAATAGCAGTAAGAAAGCACAATCTATGACACAGTAGTATATTATATACTAAAATTGACGGATTGATAGGAAAAGTTAGAAAATGTTTTGTGTGCGTTTATTTATTCCCAAACCCTATTCCAAAAAAACACGAATGTAAATAAATAGGATAATCTGTCATAACCGGCACTCAATTAATAGTATTTGTTAATTGTAAACTTGACAATAGTCTTTCCTTTTCACTCCATAAATTGTATGATAAAGACAACTAGCTGTCAAAATGACAAATAACAAATACGAATAAATAACCATGTTGTCAGCACTTCAAATGGCTTTGGCTATTCGTAATGGCCGTTTGTACTTTTTTTTTTCCTAAATGGCTTCGCACGGCTTGTGCATTTAGCCAATGTCAACTTAAAATATTTACAAATACTATAGCACTCGTGGTCAAAGTAATAAATCAAGTCAAAGTAAGTGGCAGTCAAGTCAATTCCTCTTCCCTATGTTTCAGTAAAAGTGTGGGGATTTACTGGAACCTCCCCGTGGACTTCTTGAGGAAACGTCGAAAGACATTTTCCGCTATTTTGTTTCACTTGCCAACACTTGTGCATGTTCCCGAACACTTAGTGGTTAATAATCCACCATTATTAGACACTAACATCCGCCACAACACAATTTTTAACAAGAAAAACAAAACTGCTAAAGTGACTCTTCCCGATCCCGCCAAAAAGTCCGTTGTCAGTTTGTAGACTTGACAATTGACAACATCCCTGTCATGCTTTCTATGAAATGGAAATGATAGAACGATGTCAAGTTTATAAACAGCAAACACGAACAGCCACGTGAGTGCCGGCTATGTGCTACGTTCTAAACCTACGCTCTGAGTGCAACTATTTACACTGATGAGATGTTTTTAAAGACATCAAAATGTATGAAACACAAGTGACGTTTGTTGCACCTCGAGCGTTGGTTTGGAACGCAGCCCAGTCCCAGCCAGTGGCAGTGTGACCAGATTCAGTATTTTAATACTTTTTCAGTATATTTCATCGATTTTTCCGAACATCAGTATATTTTCAGTTATAATGCTGGAAGTCAGTATTTTTGGGTATATTTTGGTAGAAGTTATGGCAACACCGTAGTGAGTGATCGTCTTTGCGACAATGTTTGCGGAATTCCCCGGAACGTGAACATTGGGGACTTCCCGGGATTTAGTTTACCTATACTTATGCATGTTATCTATGAGTAAGTTACAGATATGACAAGAAAGACGGCCGTTGTCGGCGTTGTAGTATTGTAATACTACATATACAATTATCAATTAATACGTAGTATTAATCAGACTTGCAGAATGTATGTTCGCCTAAAACTTTACAGCTGCAACGATTTTAATGCGGTTTGCACTATTAGATAGAGCGTGAAGAAATGAAGGAGGTTGTGTAAATTTTAATCCTTCGAAAAGGATGTTAAAATATAACTCTAACATTTATTGTGAGTACGTATGAATAAATAAAACGTGTTAAGAAAATCAGTATTTTTATTAGTATATCTGTCCTATGTAAGTCGGTATATTTCAGTATTTTTTTGAGGTGCCTCGGTATTTTCATAAAATTTAATCTGGTCACACTGGCCAGTGGAAAGGAAAAATATTTCAATTCGAGTTCATAGCAGATAACAGTTGCGTGAATTAAAAAATAAAAATTTATTTGTTTATTTAGTGATTACCGAGATATTGCTATACATGTAGTTCTTTTCAATTCAATTATTGCAAGTGAACTTTAGTTTTCTGTGTAATAAAATGAAAACACAATGAATTTTCTCAAAGGAATTGGTTTCAGTGTATTTCAGGGCCTTTCTCTACTATTTCTTTTAGGCTATCTATTGGGTGTCTTGAATTTACATTTCAGCGACAAAAATGATTATTGTGATATGACATACATGTTTGAGTATCCTCAGTTTGTTGTGAGTAACTTTGAAAGTTCGTGATATCCTTCACTATAATATTAGTATTTTTCCGATTTTATTTATATGATGAATGTGTTATTTATAGCGGATAACAGTACCGGAAAATGTTGCATACCCACAATACGGCCTGTATGCTTACAGTGAAGGGAGATATACAGAGAGAGCTAGGAAAATGTGGTAAGTTATGTGATGAAATTTTATGAGATTGTAAAATTTTTTAGGACCTCATTACTTTCTTCTTTGATTATTGACTTTGTTGTTTTAGACTTTTTTTTATTCTAAATATAACTAGTAAAATAACTCAAAAAATCTTTTCAGTGATAGATCACAAAAACATTATTTGAGTTATTTATTATGTAATTTTTTATTTATGTTATTATGAACAACAATTATTAAGCAAGAAATTTAATTGAACAGAAATGGTGTTTTACTTATAAATTTATTATGTGACTCACAGAAGCTCCATTGTGGTCTTCCAGATTTAGTGTGAACATTAAAGAACCCTAAATAAATTTTCAGCTTATAATCTTTTTTTTATGAAGAAAAATAACTGAAAGTTCATTCTTCATCATTGAAGTATGAATTGAAATTGAATCAAGTGTTAGGCTCTAATAAAATTATAACAAATAGGCTGTATGTATGAAAAAGAATTTAATAATATTTTTATCAAATCAATTTTGTTTTAGGTTTGATGGTGTTCCAGTCTTATTTCTTCCAGGAAATTCTGGCAGCCATATGCAAGCAAGATCTCTTGCATCAGTAGCATTGAGAAAAGCACTTGGCAATAATTATGAATACCATTTTGATTTTTATACAAGTACAGTATTTTTTCATTTTTTTTAAATTTAAAATTCAGATATGTGCACTGCACATTTTCTTCATTATTATGTGAGTGTTTGATTTGGTGATGATATTTACCCTATGATCTTTTTATTTTCATCTAAGTGGTTTTAAGTCTAAAAAAAATTATAAACCCATATGTGCCAAATATGAATTTGTTTGTGTTTCTATTTGGTCAATCAAAAATAAAAAATTAATAAGAAATATTTTTTTAAATTTTATTTTATATTTATTCTGAAACCTTCACTTTCTGAATGCAAGAGACTTATTTTCAAATAATTATATTATATAATATGAATCAAAGGTGTCGAAGCTTTTGTTTACTACCTCTTTAATAAAAACGCACCTAATGCATGCATAAACACCGCATGCACCTAAATAGTAAACATTATTACAATAATATTCTTATTAATGTCACTTTCACAGTTGAAAGTCATAATAAGTAGAGTATTAAAATTCTAATTATGAATATGTTTAAAAATCACTTCATAGCTGTACCTTATATAGTAATGTTTATAACTAATATGGCCATTTTATATTTTAGTAAGTTACAATGAAGAATTGTCTGGAATATATGGTGGTGTGCTCCAAAGTCAGACTAAGTTTGCTGCAGCTTGCATTTCAAAAATTTTAAGTTTATATAAGAGTAACAAATACACAAAAAGTGTTCCAACATCTGTTATTCTCATTGGCCATTCTATGGTAAGATAAAAATGTAACTGACCTAGGTAGTTATTTCATTTCTTAAGATGTTTTATAATTGAGATGGTTAGATAGATGGTTTTTAATAAATTGGAATATTTCTTATTTTTATCTTGTAAAAATCATTTTAAGGGTGGACTTATTACAAAGAGACTGATGGCATATCCAAGCACACTTGACAAAACTACTATAGCAATCACTTTAGCAGCTCCACTTCAGGCCCCTGCGTTAAATACAGACTTAGCCATGAATGATTACTATAAGCTCATGGAGTTTGAATGGGATATCTATATAAACAGCAATGAATCCATTCAAGACAAGAAGATGATGATTAGTTTTGGTAATGGTCCCAGGGATTTGCTGATGCCATCTGCTCTGACATTATCTAATGCCAGCTATGTTAATGCATTGGTGAGTTTTTGTTTTTTTAATTTATTTGTTTCTTTAAAGCTATGTTTGTCTCATTCGACATACATACTACTTGTGAAAAACTAGTAAATATAGTGCAAGGTCTTATATTATAATTTGTATATTGCATGCATGTTTGTAGAGCACTGCGGTTCCTGGTGTGTGGGTGTCGCCAGACCATGTCAGCATTGTTTGGTGCAAACAACTAGTTATGGCTATAAACAGATTTTTGTTTGCCATCATAGATCAGCGCACAGACCAGATAAGCGAAAACAGACAGATATGGATGTCAAAGGCTAGGCAATTTTTTGAGGTAAATAAACTGAAATAATTAAAAATTACGCATCTGCCTTATAGTACAGTTGAATAGTTAACATGGCATGCTCATGATAGATGTTTTCAGGCAAATAGATCCATGATATTAAACCCAGATATTCCTCGTGGTAATACTACAATGCTTGCAGATGCTTTCTGGTATGAAGACAGTAGAAGAATCTATCAAATATCACGACCGGAAATTGACAGGTATGTTGACTAGTAAAACCCTTCATTGGAGTCGATTCTGGCGTGAATCTCTAAATTTAAAGCTAAATTTAATATCAGTCTCTCCTTTTCATAATGTATAGAGAATGACAAGGATACGCTGTTGTCAAATTTAAGTTTAGGTTTAGAGAATCATGCCAGAATCGACACCATTGTTCCTTTTAAAATCCAAATGTTTAGGTTTACATAACAATATAATTATATATATACTACACTCAAATCAGGTCTAGATTGTCGTAAACAAATAGTGATGGCTGTCAGCCAATTGCCTACAACAGCTTCGAAATTTACCCTGACCTTTTTTAACAAGTTTTTTACTGTCGAAACATAGATCCATACTTATAAATCTAATTATTCACAATTATTAAGACTGACAGGCCTTTTACCAATTTTTGTTTTGGTAGTTTCGAAATAATCACAATGTTATATAGTTATCTCTTCTTTTTAAAATCCTCTATAATTGTTAGTAACATAAGCATATAATATTGAGGGTTAAGAGTACTTACCTAGTACTCTTAAAATCAACATTCAATGTATAAAAAACAGCAATTAAAATCTACGTAGTTTGGGATAGACGGCAATGGCTATCACTATGACCAAGTATTTCTAGAGAACAGGTGCTAATTGGTAAAGTGCTCAATGAGTAAAGTAAAGAACTAAAACGCAGATCATAACTCGGCTAAGAAAAGGGTCCGCCTTACGCAAGGTTTTGTAAATAGCACCTTAACCATGAATCGAGTTTCTAATCATTTTGGCATTCCTCCAGAGATATTTTTGGAATCGTACACGTATTTTGTAACGTCATCGTGGTTTCGTCATTTACTTAATGTTGATGAGTTGCACTATGAATCTTCTTTGTTTATACCTATAACAAAAATCTAAATTTTTAGTAATCAAATCGCATAATTTAACCAATTTGTTGACTTGATTATGCTTTTAACTATGGGAGCCACCAATTCTCACTGTGCTCGTGTCGTGAGTTATTCATCATCCAATCTCCCTGTTCCGTTCCATTAATTTCATTTCATTATTTACGCTGTTTTTTGTTTATTAATTTAGTCGCCTATGCTAGACTGGAAGTAAAAGATCAAATATGGAAAACGCAAACTGCTAACTTTTCCGATAATAAAATCATGTAAATGTTGAATACGCCCTGTATTCGGAAACATTGTAGGCGATAGGTTAGGTAACTACGATTATTTCTGCACTTTAGACCCAACCATCTATGGTAATCAACACAACTACAAGCATCATATAAAGGGCTCTACGTATATCCATCCTGCTGGATCCAGTGTGCGAGTCAGCGCTATAAATACACGTAAAATAGATAGATATACAGGATCACTTAAATATGTAGCGATAACTCGTAAGCTGGATCCAGCAGGATTGATAGTGCGTAGAGCTCTTAATAGCCTGCGTAGACAAAAGTCCTTGAATCGTGAAAAATGTGAGCCGAGGAAGCCTTGTTACGGACATTTATCACTCGAAAATTTTAAAAAGCGTACTCTATGGAAGTAAGAATTCTCAGATTACGTTCATTAACATGAAGTTTATGAAAAAGGGAGGACTTTTCAAAAGGGAATAATGCCCCTCTAGCGTGAGCACCGCGATATGATACATAACGCGTTTTATCATGCTCAATTGTCAAATTACTATGGAGTTTGACAGTTACACGCGATATAATGTAAATTGTGATCATACTACGGGGACCGAGACCCAGGTCTCTTTAAATTGTATCGAGCGCGCAACGCAGACTTATGTTTGCTGTGTGCGTTGATGTACCTAGTCCACAAATTTTCTCGGGACACGCGCATACTGTTGTCCTGTACCGGACATCGTTCTGTACTTTTGTCCTGTACCGGACTCTCGGTGTCCTCGGTTGTTCGGGAGACTTCAGGACTTTTAATTCTTCCGTGTGCATTAGTCTATACAGTTGTAAGCGATTTATTTTGGCGGACAAAAATGTCCGTGGTTAAATTGTCCCTCGTCTGCGCAGGCCATAAGAATTACTAAAGAAAAAAAAACATCTCGTCAAAGTGTTCTTCAACTGGACTCTGTAATAACCTAGTCACATAATGGTTGAATGCTTCATAAACGATTGACGTGTACGATAAATCAAAAAACAATAATAATTCTTATCTGGGGATGAAACTAATTGAGTACTTAAATATAGCTCTATAACATATTGTGTAAATACGATTGGTTTCAGAATGACATATCTGATGATAAGGCTCGTTAGTTTCCCACAAAACAGATTTGTGGCCATAGAAGCTGTAAATGTTGACGACAAGGACTGGATTTTCGGATGTAACGCAATGTACACATACGGCACATACAGATATTGGTAAAGTTTCATCACAGTTACTTCTACATACCAAGATAAATAAAAAAAAATAACGGTTTCTTTGACTATAAAACTACACCCTAGATACCGTATTAACTGCACTGAAGCGGTACAAAAAATATCTACTACATAATATGGTAGATATGCTCGTCGCCACATGCACACATTGACTGCTTTAAGCTGGATCACCAGCGCGTGTTTTACCCTACACAATTACCGAAATCATATCAACATTCAACAAAATCGTCTACAAAAAACTTTGTTTCACTACATTTAACTGTTTGCATCAACAATGTTTTTGCTTTCCGAGCCCGATGGAAAACACGTACACAAATCCTCAAGATCATCCTCCTGCAAGAGGCAGGGTATTGTTTCATCGGCCATATTTTTGACAACTCGCTAGCGGAGGCTCCGTTCCGGTAGCACAGCTTTTCACTCTGACGTTTCAATTTTGACATTTAATGTACAAAACTATTCAAATTTGACATATGTTGCACCTGGATCGTAGTTGTCGAATGTAGCCCTGTATATTTTGTGTACGATAGTCGCGTTAGCAGTAGAGCAGTTGCAGAAACAAAGTTTTGTGTTTTGTTGAATGTTTAAAAAAAAGCTTTTGCAAAAGACGACCCCGCTTTAGTACAATCTGACATTAGAGTCACGCACACATTGCACGAAATATTTTTCATTTTCTTTGCGTGATTTATCTAGAATGCTCTGTCTAGATGTAAAAATGATCAAAGCACGCCGTGCTGAAGTTGTAAAACGAAGAACCCGGCGACTGATGTTTTTAACACCGCTACCAGTAGTATACCGACAGATATTTGTTAACTTTACAGCTACATCAAACGTTATCTTGAACTTTATTGCATTTTCATTGTAGTTAAATTTTGTGACTACCTATGTCAGTAAGGAAAATTAATAATGAGCTAAATATATAGGCTCTCAATGATTATCTACGAGTAAGTGTACTCCCTATCCTGGGCGAAGATTACATAATTATTTATGATGTTAAATAGATAGGTTTGTTTCTGATAAATATATTTGACATGATATGATTTTACTGCCGCTGAGGTCAAGCTTCATCTAAGATAAAATTCTGTTGCATTGTATCGTGGTCATAAAATTTCACTTGTTGTATGTCAAACATGACATTGATATTACAATTTCTATGACGGTATACTTTAATTATGATTTAAGAAATTAAAAGTAGTTAATTTTTGTGTTCAGCAAACATGCGACGGCTCTATCTGAATTGACTCGTTGGACAAGTGCAGCTACTGCTTTTGGAAAACGAAAGCTGGCTACTATACATCTCCACAGTCTCAAAGACTTGCATCATGATTGGACACATGTAGTAGTAAAAGTATCACCAACTAGAAAACCGGTATGTTGTTCTATCTTAAGCGCGTATTCTACCTGACTAAATTCAGACATCCTAGTTAGGATCCTAAAAAGAAAGCTAATTATAAGCTTCTGATTACACGATTTCATTTTGTTATTTCTAGCCGCCTGAGGTTTTCACATGCCTCGCGCTCTTTTTTTCTTTTGCATTAGTAATAATAATATTAAAAAAAATTAGCGTGAGGTATTTGAAAACCTTCCGCGGTCAGAAATAACACAATAAAATCGAAAGCGTTAGCGTTTTCCAAAGCATTTCCGTTAGGCGAATGGCCCCCTGGCCGGTTCAATATTTTTTTTTTATAATATTTTAAATAACATTATTGAGGAGCATGTTCCCTACAAAACAATTCGTAATGATTCAAGATACCCTACATGGTATAGTAAATTGTTAATAAAAGTCATATCAGATAAATTAAAAGCTCACAAAAAATGGCAAATATACAATTGGCAAATAGACTATATGACATTTTCATATTTGCGCAACAGACAAAAAATTTTAGAGGCACAGTGTTACAGGGATTTTATGTATCATGCTGAATTTAATATAAAACGTAACTCCAAACATTTCTGGGCCTTTGTTAAGTCTAAACAAGCATCGGGTGGATTGCCAGGAACAATGTATTATGAAAGTAATGAGTGTACTGACGGCGGCTCAATAGTCGATTCATTCAATAGATATTTTCAATCAGCTTTTTTACCAAATGATAGGGTTACAAACAGTCATTGTAACGACTCCTGTCCGGATACACAGTCTTACTTGAATATTCACTCAATCAACATTGACACACAGAAAATAGCTAATCTACTTAAAAACCTTGATCCAAGTAAAGGTTGTGGCCCGGACGGGATCCCTCCCGTATTTCTTAGGTCATGTTGGGAGCAGCTTTGTTACCCTATAACGGTCCTTTTTAATAAATCTTTACAGAAGTGTTCTGTTCCCCTTGTTTGGAAAAAATCTTTTATAACGCCTGTTTACAAGGGTAAGGGTAATAAGCACGATGTTAAGAGTTACAGGCCAATTTCCAAACTTTCTGTGATACCTAAACTTTTCGAAAAGGTAATACGCGACACACTATTTCCCTTTCTTTGGCCAATGATAAATACTTTTCAGCATGGTTTTATTAACAAACGCTCCACAGAAAGTAACTTATGCGAGTTGATCGAAATTTTGCCAGAGGGTATGGATAACGGTTATCAAATGGATTTCGTGTATACCGACTATTCGAAAGCCTTCGACAAGCTGCCCCATTATTTACTCATTTCGAAGCTAAAAGCAGTTGGTATTCATGGCGATCTTCTCCGATGGTTGGCGTCGTATCTGCGAGACCGTAGTCAGGCTGTGGCAATAAAGGGTTACTGTTCCACTTTTGTTCCCGTAACCTCAGGTGTGCCCCAGGGCTCTCACCTTGGTCCCCTTCTATTTAACGTGCTTATTAATGATATAAAGAACCATATTCACAATTCTAACTTACTGCTCTACGCAGATGATATGAAAATTATAAAGTTGATCAAATCCATAGAAGATTGTAAATTGTTACAAAAAGATTTGAACAACTTGGTAAACTATTGCAATTATAACACACTTAAATTGAACACAGATAAATGTGCAGTAATTACTTTTACCCGGAAGAAAATTCTAATTAATTATAGCTATAAATTAACTAATTCTATTCTCACAAAAAAAAAACCATAAATCATTGATGACAAACTTACTTTCAGTAACCATATTAGCAATATTGTTGCAAAATCGTATAGAATGCTAGGTTTCATCATGCGTATTGGAAAGGAATTCCGTAGCGCATCTACTTTGATATTACTGTATAATGCATTTGTGAGACCACACCTTGAATATGCCTCTTGTGTATGGAATCCACATTATAATACATACATTGATGCTATTGAAAGAATTCAACACAAATTTGTAAAGTACTTAGAAAACAAAATTAATGTTAACTTGATTATTAATGATTGTGAAGCAAAGTTACAGGTTACATCCTTGCAACATCGCAGAACTGTTAGAGATCAATTATTTCTTTACAAACTTATTAATGACCTTGTAGATTCGCCGTTCCTTTTGCAGAGGAGTGGTTTCCGTTGTCCAAATAAATAGAACTAGGTCTGACAACACGTTTGTAATACAATTCAGCAGGACCAAGTTTGCTGCTAATAGTTTCATTTCTAGAGCATGTCACAGCTATAATAAATACTTCAGGGGATTGGATATATTTTGCCTTTCTTACAACCGATTTAGAAATGAATGCTATAAGGTCGTTTTACCCTAACACTTAGTAATTATTTTCTTTTATTCACACAATTCTAAATATTGTACGTAATCTTAAGTGTAAGTTTATGAATGTTTCAGTCTGTGGAAACTTAACTGGTTTATGAAATAGTAATAAGTGTTACTTAATTGATTTGTGTAAAACTGTATGTTTCCCAAATGAAAATAAATAAATAAAAGAAAGTAAAAAACGGAAAACGTGGATGAAAGAATATTAATATTATTAATGTTATTTTTATCGTTTCTGTTCCAAAGATACGGCATATCTTTATAAAATTCGATTATGTTACTCATAACTTCTTATTATTGTGACGTCGATATCGCGCACTCGCGTAATTCGTAATCTCACAATAACGTCCTCACGCAGTGACGCCTGCGGTGCGACTAAAGCACCTAAACTCTATCACACGTTCCTAAATCGCTTTCTAATTAGGATACTCAATGATTTAGTCAGTCAGAAGCCACACTTCTTCCGATTTAGGATGCTAATAAGGATCCTAACTACCTATATGTTATGGTATCTCTGTTAATCCATCAAAATGTCAGGCAATTATAATAGGTAGTTCCCGGCAGTTGGCCTTTTTGGATTTAGGTTCACTGAATCAATTACTATACAATGGTACTGTAATTAAATTTCAACTATGCGTCAAAAATCTTGGCCTACTCATTGACTGTACTCTCAGCTGGGAGAATCAAGTTGAAGAAGTATGCCGAAAAGTAATTAATACACTTAGGGCTCTGTACAGGTTAAAATTCTTTCTCCCTTCCAGTACAAAGGTTTCGCTGGTACAGGCTCTCGTTCTGCCAATCCTTGACTATGCTGACGTCTGCTATTCTGACACCAATCAAAACCTTCTTTCTAAGAGGGATCGTTTGCTCAACAGCTGTATTCGCTTTATCTTCGGTTTACGTAAGTACGACCATATCTCCCACTATAGAAATAAACTGAATTGGCTGTCCATACGTGACCGTAGAAATCTCAGAATTTTATGCATGCTTTTCAGTGTTCTATACGATCCACGTGCCCCAGAATACTATAAATCTAGGTTTCAGTTTCTGGGTCCCTCCAGACCACGTGATCTTCGCTCTTGCAGGCACCTTACCCTCAAAACTATTTTTCACCATTCTGGGTTCGTTTCCAAATCTTTCGCCATCACAGCTATACGTCTTTGGAATGCTTTGCCACTGAATATTCGCAGTGCACGTAATAAGTTACATTTCAAAAAACTAGTGCGTGCTCACTATCTGTCAACCTAATTTTCCTCTTAATCTGTAGTCATCTATAATATCATCATATTTTTTTTTTTACTAATTTAGTGTATGTATGTTTATTTATGTATTTATTTATAAATATATATATTTATGAATATATATGTGTATCAGTATATGTGTAGGTATAATATGTATTTTATATTTATTGTTGTTATAGAATAGTTAGGTATAGTAGATATTTTTTTATGATCCACACTAAGTATCTCATATTCTATCGCCATTACATTGCATCTCCTACACCTTTACTGGTTGACTGGTAGAGAATGCCTATGGCATTAAGTCCGCCATTTACTGTTTTTATGGTAATAAAGAATAAATATATAAATAAATATATACTATTTCACTTGACAGAATTAGTTACTGAATGATTTAGAACGTCTGAATTTAGTCAGGTGGAATACGCGGTTTAAGGCTTCCTTCCTTAGGCTGCCTGTCCACTGGAGTGGAGCGAGGCAGTCCTATTGGTTAATATTTTCCCGTTTCTCTGCTCTGCAGCCTCACTCCGCTACAGTGACAGGCAGCCTTAGGCTAGGCGCATATGTACGGTTTCCTGATCAGAAATTTATATCCAAAATTCCGTAAGCGTGAGTATTTCCGAACCGAATGTTAGGCTTTTTCCACTCTAAAAAATTAAAATTGTGTTCGCGTCGTTGAACATTTTGTATGTAAGGGTGTGGCATGCAGGTCTCCGAATCGGAATCCCTGATCAGGAAACTGTACATTTGCTCCTAGCCTTAGGCTGGGCTGAAAACACTAATTCATTTCAGCATTTCATTAAACGAATACTGTTGGTACAATTTTACTCTTTTGTCATAGAATTAAAGCTTTCAGATAATTTTGAATGTTGATGTGAACGACCACGCATCGAGGCAGATACTAGTTGATTTACCGTCCGATTATTCGTTCGAAAACACTGTAGTAATACATGAGACTGAACCAAATAGTTTGTACTATGAACTCCTACTTCCCGGTTTTACTGCAGTGCACCAATCGTATTTACTGTACGTAGAGCCGACCGCCAGTTGCAAGGCGAGCCAATATCATGTTTCTGCGGAATTTCACGTGCCTTGGGCAAAGAATTATGAGTACAGTCACTTTTACACGTAAGTAGCAATCAACGTTTGTTTCAATCTTTTACACATTAACAAATTGTTGGACATATTTATCTATGTATTATAAGTTTTAAACGCACACCAATTAGCCTAGACCCAAAGTGAGCAAGGTGTAAGGCTTGTGTTATGGAATAATAGGGTCACGGATAGAATACATATACTCATATATATACAAAGTATATTTTATCTAGAAATATATAGATATAAATATCTTACATGACTAAATTCACGACGTTAACAAATTATTAGGCACTAGCGGCCGCCCGCGACTTCGTACGAGTTAAGTTAGAAATAAAGGTTCACTGCTCGTTCCCCGTAGGTGATAGCGTGATAATATGTAGCCTATATGTTGATCCGACTTCTTAATAATATTCGTGCCAAATTTGAAGAAAATCCATGCAGTTCTTTTTGAGTTTATCCCGGACATACATACAGGCAAAAATTCTTAAAACTATATTTTTGGCTTCGGTATGGATTGTAGATCACACCTAAGTATTCTTTTAAAAAAATATTCAATGTACAGTTTTGACTTTCCTAACATTTTATTACTTATATGTATAGATATTTTTAAGAGACTCGAATAACCATCTATCTATATTATATATTATTTAAATGAGTTCTTGTTACTCTTATGATTTGGTTTGTGCCATAATATTTTTTTTAATAATTTTTAGTCATACGAAACGATCGCCGATGAAACTTCGCCTATACGTCAGTAATCCGAATGTGACATCTGGAGGGGAACACCAGCCAGTGAAAGTAACATTGCTTCTGGATCCCCAATGCACTTTTTCTATTAGGTGAGGACACTTCTTAGTTTCTATGTGTTACTTAAGATCGTTTTCTAATTCCGACTCAAAAGACCATTCATTACCTGACCACTAGGCGGGGATTGCCGCGGAGGCAAATTGGAATAGAAAAACTGAAGTGGTGGCAATGACTTCATTCCCATTTGCCCCCGGTGGCAATCCAAGCGGGGCGACGGGGAATAAATGCTTGATTTTATAAATAAACCGTACATTGTCATTTTCCCTTATTATTTGACATTGATAATATTATCATTTTGGTTAGTAGGTCATCGAAATAGTAGTGCTGCTGCGGTTTTATATTATGTAGCTTCATATCTCGCGAAGCAGATTACCTAACGTGATATCATGAAATAGATAAAATGAAATGTTGGTTTAGGTATCGCTGCCAGAGTTTCGTCAATAATGAGAGTAATGAAATATACATATATAGTAACAGTACAATCAGTGACGATATCTACTAATTGAATGCAATTTGTAAAAACTACTTCATTCATGCCAAAAATTAAATATTTAAAATGTTTTTAAAAACAAAACAAAATTTCTTATGTATGAATCTGCCCTTGCCGTCACTGCTATCATAGTGGGACTCTTTTCTTGCCGATAATAAGCAAAGAAATGTTGCCAGCCTAAAACAAATACGACACGACACGCAATAACTTTCGGCCCCAGTTGAGTTCTTCGTTAAACGCCGGCAGATTTCTATTGATAATCTCTTATCTATTAGACAAGTCCGTCCGTCCGTCCGTGGTGCTGTTTCAGCGGCAAACCGTAAGAGATAGATATAGAGAATGTTTAAGTTATAAGTTAGGAATAGTCTGATAAGACTACAAACCGGATTTGAGTAACGTAGCACTTCCGGTTTTCGAGAAATCACGTGATTTCTATTTGAAACGAAACCACAGAAAATCTCCGAAGTTCTCAATTAATTAAATACATTTTTTTTGGTGAACATTTGGTTCACCGGTTTGCTAGTCTCTTATCTATTAGACAAGTCCGTCTGTCCGTGGTGCTGTTTCAGCGGCCAAACCATAAGATATAGATAAAGAGAATATTTAAGTTATAAGTTAAGAATAGTCTGATAAGACTACAAACCGGATTTGAGTAACGTAGCACTTCCGGTTTTCGAGAAATCAGGTTTTGGTGAACATTTGGTTCACTGGTTTGCTAGTATTCCATTAATGCTTTAAGTCACATTGTGGCGGAACTGAACGCGCGTGACCTTCGGAAAGAACTTGGTCTTGATCCTCGAGTATTCTGCGATCTCTTCAGTAGTTCTTTCTTTTTCGTTGAGTAAGTGCCTGTCCACGTCTTCACGTCACGACGTTGGTAACGTTGCAAGGTGCGTTGACATAAAGTGCAAATCTGCTCGTTACTAAAAAAGTAAAGTCGTTACCCCACCGTTCCACGTTGACCTCGCTGTAACATGGATATGTGAACAGGTACTAATGCAGTCGCTACACACTAATCACTAAGTAAATCCTATTTTTATTTATTCTGACCGGACTAGCTTATATAATAATAATATATAAATAAATATTTATGTATTTTTTTTAAACACACCAATTAGACTAGCCCCAAAGTAAGCACTATAACTTGTGTTATGGGATACTAGGGTAATGGATAGAATACTTAAACTGTACATATATAAGTATATTTATATAAATACATATTAAACATCCATGAGTGGAGTACAAATGCACGTATTCAGCACACAAACATCTGCCTCCACCGGGATTCGAACCCGGGACCTCTCGAGTCGGCGACACCTTGAAACCCGGCGGACAAACCACTCGGCCACGGAGGTCGTCAAATATATATCTTATAGTTATATTATCTGTATATATTATGTATGTATGGTATGAATATATATTTAATATATCATACCATCTACTCAAGTTTCTTTCAATCCTCTCCATCCAAAGGATGTCTGGAAGAAATCGCTTTTAGCGATAAGACCGCCCATTGTATCACTATGTTTAAACATAATGTATTTACTCCATTTTTGTACTGTATTGTGGTGTTTTCAATAAAGAATTGTGTATTGTATTGTATTGTAAATCCTAAATAGTCATAGTCTATTTTTATTACAGCATATCTCAGAGTTGGTATCTACGTTTAGCACAATTCGCACGAAACTATACAACGGTACTGGTACCGTATGTAGCTGCAATAGTACTACTCGCAGTGAGATGCAGCTTTCTGCACTTTAGGGAGCATGGATCATGCTTATCAATGCACAGTGCTTTGAAGAGCGAAGGTGTTAAACCGTACTACGCATTGGTTTTTGCGAGACTGGGTGCTATGGTGTTCATGTAAGTACTGATCATAGAGATATAAGAATAGAGTGGCGAAGGTGGCTCTAAAAGTGTCCGTCTAGTAGAAAGAGAAAGAAGATGAGAGACCGCAAGCTATGTCTCTCTCTTGTGAGGCATCCAATGGCATCACATCGAAATAGTAAGATGCTTACGGTTGCCAATGCGCATGCGCGATTGGAGAGAGAAAGCTTGCGGTCTCTCATCTTCTTTCTGTTTTTATTAGAGGGACACTTTCACTTGTAGTAGAGTCTATATCTCCCCTACTCTATTATACCTCTATGGTACTGTTACCGTTTGTTTTGCTTTTCTACTTTCAAATCGAAATGACAATTCTTCATTCGATAAGATAGCTTTAATTAAAACCTTTTGTAAGTACTTATAGTATTTTTTTCGTTCTACCGATTCAATTTTTGTAACCGTGGCAAGGAACGTGTGTATTCGTAAAACTAGTTAAAGAACTATTTTAAAAATACACGAAATCAAAAGTTAAATGGACCAAAATATTTCTCCGGTTAAATAAAATTACGAAAGACAATTTAAAGATTATAAAAACGGTCCTCGCTGACGATGTTCAAAGGCCAATTTAATAAAGCTGACCATAGTATCGAAACGGCATGACCGATTCGTATGAAATTATGTGTATATATTCAGTGGGGCTGAAAATAGGATATAAACAATTTTTCATACCCCTAAGTGATAAGGGTGGTCCATTCCAAAATTTTTGTTTTTATTATTTCATCCATCTTCCGTCAACCCCAATTTTTATTGCGGTTTAAAGTCTGCAGGGTCACCTAGTTTTTCATTAATATAAATATCTAGTTAAGCCAAAAAACCGACCCTTGTACTTCCAGGGTGATAACTTGTAATACAACTAAAAGCCATATTACTACGCACTTGCTCGTGAAGGACAATAGGCTAGTTGACCCTTTTTGGAAAAAGGTTTTAAATGGTTAATTAATGTTCTATTAGACCGAAAAAAAATGTATTGTATTTTTTTTAACCTAGAAAGCTACAAATCTTTAATTTTAAAATAGACTTTTCATGGACATACAAAAACCGCTGTCGGCCATTTTAGTCTATAGATTATCTATGCTATGACGTGAACTGTGGTAAACAAAAACTCGTAAACACGTAGAAAATTACTTTTAACTGAGTTTATAATAAAAAAAAACATGATTTCTAATAAATACCACGAAAAATAAAGTAATTATCATTACTGTATTGTACGAGAATATAAAAACACATCCTTGAAGACTCCAGGAAAGTTGTGGATTAAAGTGCCGAAAGAAATTAACCTACGCAACTTTATTACACTTATTCATATGTTGTATCAGTTTTATGTTTATTACTACATTGTAATACTAAATGCACTGTACTTACATAGATGCCTTGTCGTTTCTCTGCTCCGCAGAGCAGAAATCGGGGTTTAGTGCAACAAATTCACCAACCATCAATGCGTCAATTCTTGGCAGATTTGTGCTTTCTGCTTTCACAAAGCCGGCATCCATAATTAGTTTTGTCAAAAAACTGTTTTTTTTCTTTCCTAAAGTTAAAAGTGTTTTAAGATAAATTTAGTCAGACGAAAGAATCCACCTACAGTAACACGCGAATAACATTTAGTTGTTTACCACAAGAGACGTCAAAATCATGGCGGACAACGTTTTTAGTGTTTAAAAAATATAGACTAAAAAATATTTTTTAAAATTAAATTTCTACAGCAATCTTCTGCTTTTCTGAAGTGAAATCGATATATTAAGGTTCCTTAGACTAAATACTTTAAGAAATAAACATTTATTTAATACAATTCGACATGAGTAAACAAGCCTATTGCTATATATATATTTTCCATTTCAGGTCAATTCCTATGTTAGCATTTTTATTCGAGAACGCTAGCTGGAAAAATCTGGAGCTTCAATATTTTCTGCGGTCATTGCTTGTGTTGCCAGTCTACATGACTGCTCTGGGAATATTGAATGTCGGTGCAGCCGCTCTATTGGCAGTTATGGTGTTCTCTTCGCAGTTGGCCCATAGATTGTTGTTCAGGTAAGTACCTACAGTGCGACAAGGATCTTTATGAATGTGTGTGACAGTTCAGGGAGGGCGCCACTGTCTACGTAAATTACCTCACCTGCTTAAAAGATAATTTCTAGGATAAAAAAATAAACTAACCTTTGTCCTTACCCTGTAACTATTTCTAAACCAAATTTCATTCAAATCGGTATAGTCGTTTAAGCGTGAAGAGGTTACAGGCAGACACACTTCCGTATTTATTATATTAAAATTAGTATGGATTCAGTACTGGACTGTTTACCACTACAACAATTGCAGGAAATGTTCATTAAGAAAATAAACAGCCTTACTCAGAAATGACAAATTAATTTAGTGCTTTAAACGACACGTGACTTAACCCCTCAGCTGTGTAGCCATTTACTTACTTTTTCACAACCGGAAAGTCAAAAAGTATTCCGGCCGATTTTCCTTTTATTATTCGAATTCTTCTGAAGATCCAGACTTCATTTATGTCATAAATCAATCCTGAGTAGTTTCTCTTTAAACTTATGAATATATAAGATGTGTTAATTAAAAATATTACTAAATATGATAAAACGCAAAATAGGAAAATAAAATCTCAATCCCTGGCAGAAAACATCCACTTACACAGCCGAGGGGTTAATGAAACATTCAATTTGAGGACTCCTAAGTACGATGGAAAGAAAAATAAGATATAATGGCCGTTACAATGGAAAAATAAACTTCCAGAATAATGTGGCGTGGTGGGCCTGCACTCGCTGAGAGAGTAGCATCGGGTTTGCAGAAAGTGCCGATGGTAGTTAGCGCGACGCTAGTGTGCGCTGTACCTTTATCGTGTGGAGCCGCGTCGTTGGCCGCGGGCGCAGCCTTTTACGCATTTATGGTATGTCATATAAATGTATTTAATCCATAGAACCTTAGATTAAAACAAAAAGGGAAGATACGGCACTTGCGGCTCAAAAGTGGTGCGTTACCATAATTCGCTTTAGTCACAATTCGACATTCAAACACGCTGCATGTGCACTCAACATAAAAATATTGCATATATTCTGTATTATGAAGATAAAACAATGCCTTCGATGCTTTTATAGATAACACAAATACCTACATTGACAAAGACATTGTGGGTTTACCTATAATGCGAAGAGATGGCGCTGCCTTGCAGCTTAAGAATAGCTAGAAAGAATTTCGACGCGGTCCGTGAGGGCCGCGGTAGCATAATTGGTCAGTGCATTCGCCCGGATTGCGAAGGGTGCGGGTTCGAGTCCCGTCTGCTGCCTGGTCCGCGTGGAATTTTTTCTAGTTATATTTTTTTTAGATTTAAACATCAAGCAGTTACATGCTTTAAAATTAATAAAAATTATAACTATAATTGCTATTTCTTCTTTCAAATGTTTAATACTTGTAAAAGTATTCATTTGACATTGTGGGTTTACCTATAATGCGAAGAGATGGCGCTGCCTTGCAGCTTAAGAATAGCTAGAAAGAATTTCGACGCGGTCCGTGAGGGCCGCGGTAGCATAATTGGTCAGTGCATTCGCCCGGATTGCGAAGGGTGCGGGTTCGAGTCCCGTCTGCTGCCTGGTCCGCGTGGAATTTTTTCTAGTTATATTTTCTTTAGATTTAAACATCAAGCAGTTACATGCTTTAAAATTAATAAAAATTATAACACAAATAGTTCAAAATCAAACAAATTCCTCGGCAACACTTGTCATTTGTATAACTGTAAAAGCATTTTTTCTCAGAAATCACGGTTTGTCGTGAATGTTATTTACGTAATCGCCATTTTGTTATCAAGAAAAGGACAACAGTATGGTACGTTGAAACGTATAGTTCTGTCTCGCTCGCTCGATTGAATGTTTATATACAGACGTGTGCGTGTGTGAGAGTTGCTTATGTAGTTGAGTGGGATCATATTTTATCTGATGCTAGTATGAACGTACCGTATCTACCCTTTTTGTTTCAATCTAAAGAAAATTATCCTCACATTACCACTGAGAAATAAATAATAAATGTTGCTTGTTGTATTTGTCTATGATGAGAAAAGAATGTAGTTTCTAATACTATTATTATTTATTTGTCTAATACGTAGACCGAGTGGAATTTTTTCTAGTAAAAATTTTCAATAATATATTTTTTTATTGCAGATTTCAAAAATGTATGAAGAATACCTAGAAGATTATGTGTACAAATTGATGGCAAAGGTTGCGTCTAGAGTCTGTCGAATGTTTAAATCTACTAAACAAGATATTAAGAATGAATCTCAAACTGGGGTTGAATCTAATCAAATCGTGGTTAGTAATCATGCAACTACCTCAGAAAATAAAGATAATGTGAAAGATAATACTGTTGAACAACATGATGACAAAAATAACAAACATCTAAACATAGTAAATGCTGATATTAAAACAGTAGTTGAGGATAGTAAAGAATTGGTTGTTATAAAACCTCAAGAAAAAGCAAATGAGAACAAAGAAGAAAAATGTGATGAAAAGTCTAGAAGAGGAAAACAAAGTGGTGATAGTAATATGGATGAAGACTTAAATAACTTGAATTTTCATGTAATGATGTTCATTATGTGGATTTGCGTGACTCTGGTGAATGTGCCAGCTCTGTTGACGTGGGCGAGAAACTTTAAGTGAGTGTTTCAACTAACGTTTAGTTTAGTGAGCTATGTTAAATTTGCTAATTAGGTCTTTCTGCTGAGGTTCATATAGATAGAATATACATACAATGAACTTTTAAGTAATTTCATTGGCCTAGATAGTTTGTCACCTTTTTATGTTAAGATCAGATCAATGCATGTGATATTCTCACTTCCTCTCATAAACTCTTTTTTTATGTTTTCTCTAGTTACAACAACTTAACACAGCTTCTGTTTATTCCAGATTTAGTATGGTATTAAAACCGGATACATCATACCACACTGGCTTTATTATGTCTGCATGTTCAGCCTGTATATGGCAAATGGAAGGGCCAAGAAGAAATTTGTAAGTAACAAAAAAGCTTTTATTAAATAGTTCTTGATTTAAGTAATAAAGTGAAACTATTATAATGATCAATTTATTATAGTACCTATTGATTTTTTATTTAAATTCTTATTTATTCTTTCAGGAGATATTATGAACCTGTAGCTGCTCTACTTTTCACAATGGCAGTATTTATCCTGGCCCTGGGTCCGTTATCCTTGACCATTGTTAATTATGGTATAACTTTCATGTTTGCTGTTATTACAATCCAACAGTTATGTGATAGAGAAGAAGAAGATCCTGTTTCTTCTGAAGGTACTGCAAGTACAGATGATGATGGACAAGGCATTAATGAAGGGGCAACTGAAAATGTAGAAAACGAAAATAACAAGAAAAAAGGCGGAATTGATAAAGAAGAAAGCAAGAATTCTAATAATAAGGAAAATACCAAAGATAATGGAAACCCAAGCAACGAAGCTGAAACCAACAAAACTGATGAAGATTGTGATGTATGTAGTGAAAGCAGAATATATGGAGCATTTAAACGTTTAAGGGATAAGTTTAGCTTTAGTGAAGACTCTTGATAAACTAAGCAAAATACGAAGTCTAGTCTCCCTGGAATACTTACATATCTTTTGCACCACATTTGTGGGTATTTGAACACCCACAGTATTTAAATAGATATTTTTTGAAATTGTAATATTGAGATTGAATTTGTTTGTTGAACTGAATAATTGGTCTTTGTGATTTTGCTCAATTATTTATCAAAAGCAGTGTTAATCATTAACTGATTATTAGAGATCAGATAATCGTGTGCATATTTACCTAAATTTGAGATGTTGGATATTATGGAAAGCACCTTTTTATCAAAAAAGTGATTATGGGCAATGTAAGTGTATACTCCGTGATATGTAATAAACCCAGTTTGACACAAATGACAGTTGCACTGTTACAACATAATATGGTTATCTTAATGGGTAAATAAATTTATATTCATTTATGTTTTCTAATTAAATAACCACACTACCATTTAAGAGAAATGGTACACACACCTCATGCCTACACACATACTTGAATAGGAAACTAAAATATAACTTTAAGTAAGTAAACATCCGATTAGTTATACAATCCCAGAATTTCATTTTTAATAAAAATATCCTAAACAGCTTCTTCCATAATTTTTTAGCCAAAAAATTGTTTAGGTAAATATACATCTGATTATCTGGTCAGAATGTGGCTGATTACATTCAAAATGTAGTTTTATTTAGTTGAACATTCTTCAATATCCCAAATTCTTCAGATTTTATGAATTTACTAAATAAATCATCAGTCATACTATCAAAATGTGTTTGACTAAGTTTTATTTCATCCAAAAATTAATTAATTTATAATCATTTGACAATTATAATAAACTGGTAGACCTGTACATTAAAAATATATAAAAACACCTTTAATACAGTATCTACCAGTATTTGAAGTACAGATAAGTCTGATTATAACAAATAAAAAGCAGAGACTGGGTGTGAAGTTAGTTTTATTTAGATGTATTGATTTAGCTTTGGAGTAGTTAAATAACTAAATGTCTTATTAGCTATATTTATTTAAGAGATACAATTCACAGATGTGTATAAGATAATCATTTCTTCCCTTTCTTGCCTGTAGGTTTGTCCTCTGTAGTTTTCGGATTTTGCCAGGTTAGTGGGTTGCGACGATACATAGGCCATGGTGGAACAGTCAGGATTGCAGCAAGAATAAACCCGGCTCCCAAAATATACACTGACTGCGAGAATTGTTGAACAATATAGCCCCAAACAAATCCGACAATACTGAATAATGTAATAATGGCTTTATATAACTTCTCAGCTTTAGCTTGACCAACATAATCAATATGGGTGGGAAGAGAACTGAAGAAATCCATTTTCTCGCGTAGCTATTAAAATCTTTTCTTGATTAAATGCTGGATAGGAAAGTTAAAAGTTTTTGGACACCTTAACACCTTTCGTCTTGTCAAATTGATATTGTAATGCTGGCACTACTTAGCTATTCGTGTTTGGTGTTTGTGAACTTGACATTAGTCTATCCTTTTCATTCCCTATATAGCATGATATAGTAGACTATTGTCAAGTTTACAAATAGCAAATACGAGTAGCCAAGTGGTGTGCCGGCATCAACGTCAACACCACACGTCATGTTTCTTGGTTTTTGTTGTAATATTCCCCCTTTATGGAAAGGCAAAAGATGTTCACATCATACAGCTTTGTCTATTTATTCTTTTTTACATCTGTATTCGGCATATTGAGCATAATTTTCAAAAAACGGTATTTCTTGCATCTGACAATGTAAAATGAACTTAAATATGTAGAAAACAATGATATTTTTAATAATTTTTAAGCCTGCTTATATTGGACGTATTAAATATCAGGACCATAGGGTGCAGCCAGAGTGCACTCAGATTCAGAGTCAGATTCAGATTCTGAAAACAAGCGCGAGAAATAAACAGTGTAGTCGAAGGGTACGGCCAGATTGCACTCCTGATTCAGATTCAGACTCAGAAAACAAAGCGCGAGAAAAAGCAAGCAACCTGCTTAGACTACACTGTTTATTTCTCGCGCTTGTTTTCGAAATCTGAATCTGAGTCTGAATCTGAGTGCACTCTGGCCGCACCCATAGATCAGAACCGAGCAGGGTATACTGTATAATGATTGGTCCCATAAGCGGAATTCTTAATTTTTTTTTTCTGTAGTAAATTATTTATTAATTTTCGATTGTTCCACAATGCTGTTGAGAGTCAAAATAAGAAAACTTTAAATAGCTCAATATAATTATGCGTTAAATATTTCAAACTAAATAGAAAAAGTTTTGAATGTATAGTCATTGGCCTTCAAGGTCCAATAATTGCCCCCCACCTATATCAGTGATTGGCACTCCGGATATTTTTTTAATTCTATTAAATTTGACCTAAATATAAGATACTTGGGTATGTATAATGGCCTGTGCAGACGATTGACTTGAAAAGACCCCCAATCTTATAAATTAGTGCTCACGGACCACACATATGAAGTGAAACTTCTTAAATAACCTAACATAAGGCGGTGCATAAGGAATAGGGAAATGGAGCAGCGCACGCATCACTCATATATGTGTATATTGTCGCGTGTGACGCTCGTAGCGTTTCAGCCTTTGCCGAGTTACCCTCCAACTTTCTTGCTCGTCGCGAAAAGCTGCGCACGCATCCCACACATAGGTATATAGTAGTGTGACGGTCGTGACGAATTTCCGTTTTATTCTTTTCCACAGGATTTTTCCATTTACACCCCTTCCCCCCTTCCAATGCACAGGGTTTGCGGACATTATGTTGCCCGAAAATTAAGAAAAGCGCACACTATGGAAGTAAATGTTCCCAGATTACGTTGTGTTGTAATTAACATGAAGTTTCACAAAGACTAGACCCATATAATATTTAAATCGGGTCGAGAGCTCAACGCGAAAGTTCACTATGTGCGTTGCTGTGCCTAGTCACAGAGTAATATTTTGGAACGAATTTAATTTTTGTACGCTTTGGCTGATGGGGATACTAGCTAGGCCAAAATTTACTGTCACAACTTAGTTAGGCAGCTAGCTATTCAACTAGCTAGGCAGCTAGCCAGCTAGGTAGCTAGCTAGGCAGCTAGCTAGGCATCCAGCTAGGCAGCTGCGTGGGTAGCTATTTAGTTACCGTGAGGCTTTAAACTTTATACTAAATTATAAAAGTGTTTCCTGAAAATCATCAATGAAATGTAACAATTTATAAATAATTGTACACAAACTACAATAAAAAACCGGTCAAGTGCGTGTCCTGCCACGCGCAGTGTATTGTTCCGTAGTTGCCCGTAGTTACCACGATATAATTTGAATTTGAGCAGGAGTCTTTGTTTTCTATATCGGAAATTAGAAAAAACAATTAATCTAAATCTATGAATCAGAACTAAAATACCTAAATCAAACTCAAAATGCGTCTGAAATTCATAATCAATTCGATATTTTTTTTTAAATACGAATGATAACCGCCGATTATTTTTCGTTCCTCCCAGGCGGGGAAGCTGGTGTAAAATCCTCGTGGATACCCTATAGCCGGCTGCAACTCTCTGCGACTCTTACTGACTAAAAGCAGTATGTACAATATGCAGTATGTAGTAGTTTTTCTCGTGTCGCCGTCGTGGTAGGCCGCTCGTAGTTGAGCCCACCTACCTCCCTAGTGCCGAGAAAAAATCATGTAACTATTTGTTTGTAATCTGCCTGAAGTTACAAATTTACTCAATTTACGATTTTGAGACCAAAAAAGGCATTGTTTACATTGCACATTTTTAGGTTAGATTGACATTGTAAATAGATAATATTGTAGTACGACCATTTCTTTTGATACGTTATTATGGTTCAACTCGGTCACGTTTTCTACCAATTTTGAATAATTGCTTCATGTCAATAAGTTATTGTTTCTATTCCGTTACATATTTTTTTACTTTTTTTCAGGAAAATCAGAGAGTCGGATAGTCAACGGAGGTTTTAAGAATGATGGAATGTTTGAAACTCCTGAGAAAACAGACAAGGCCGACCATGGAAAGAAATGGTTACATAAAGAACCATGGCCAGATGCTTTTAGTGAAGATACCTATCACTAATTTTACTAACTGCACATTAACAAATTGTTTCTCTAAATAAACTTTTTATATACTATAAAATGATTTTTAGTATTATTTTCACAAATGTGTTAAAAAACGTGGTATGATGATACTTGTGTGTATTGATGATTACCTAACGGCTCTGGTCTCAATGGCACCTCAGCGGTAATCACCAACATTACACACTTTTACACTATGAAGTACTATTTTATCTATAATAATTTTATTCTGATTCAATTAAATATGCTTGGCTAAACTTTTTATAAGCATAGGTACCTACTATATATAAAACAGAAACAAAATACGACTGTACAGTGTGTCTTATTAATTACCTATTTTACTTGAATGAACTGCTAGTATCAAAATCATTTTGATCCGACTGTATAGGGTTGCTACATGCATAATTACTAGTGGCGCCATCATTTAATGTCACGACTTTATAGACAAACGAATGACGAACGAATCACCCTCCAATCCGCACTGGGTCCATTATCACCCACCAATCCACACTGGGTCCGTTATCAACCTCCAAGCACTATTATTTTGATTCATAAACTATTTATGTATTTTATTCATGGAAAATCGTCACACAGTCGCCAGTTTACCCCCCAAGTCAAGCGTGCCTAAAGTTTCACTTCAAAAAAAATCCATATGATTAACCCTTTCAACGGTTATCATAAAATAAGTCATGGGTTTTTTTAAGTTGCACGGTAAGATCCTGGGTTGAGCCAGGCGATTTAAAAAAAAACTGTGAATGTAGTTCTTCTTAATATTACAAATAAAATGATGTCTTCTTGGAATAAAATATCATATCTTCAATATTTAATATACTGTACCTCCGTATGGCATGGCCGTGGGTCATTTAATCCCTTTATTTAATTTTACGTAGTCAGGAAAAAAAGTAAAAAAATAAAAAAAAAAAAAAATCTTTTTATGTTGAGGAAGTGGATCGTAGAAAGGAAAGACAATCAGCTCGTAATATTTAGTTTATGTAGTCCCAATCACATTTTACATTTTTATAGGTATACACCGTTGACGTATTTGCAAAAGTCCTAGAATGAAGTAACGGTGACATAGAGAACAGGCCATCGAGTCGCCCTAACAAGAAGGTTTTACATAAAATCATATCTTCAACACACCTCCTTGATTTTATAGAAAACAACAAAAAAACAACTTAATACCAATATAACAATTTAAAATAATAATAAAAGGACTTAACAAAAACATAAGACTATCTGTCATTAACATTTCATTTGACGTTTGCTAGTTCTCTAAGTTTTATAAATTTATTTTTTCCTAATGCCTTGGTCAATATATCCGCTAATTGTTTTTCTGCATGAACCTTTACTATATTAATAATACCCTTTTTCTCATAGTCATATACGAAGTGGTAGCTTATGTCAATATGCTTAGAATTTTTACAAAACTTTCCGTTCTTTGACAACGCAATAGCCCCGCTGTTGTCTTCGTAAATTTTTACTGGATCCCTAATCTCAACGCCTAAATCGCGTAACACACCTATTAACGGAAGTACTTCTTCAACACAGTCTGCCAAAGCATAATACTCGGCATGAGTTGATGCTCTTGACACTATTTTCTGTTTATGTGACTTCCACATGATCGGATTATTAAAAACTCTTATAAGGATTCCTGTCGTCGACTTCCTATCCGATTTATCTGCGGCCCAATCAGCATCTACATAAGCGTCCAATTGTTCTTTGTAGTCGGCGTCAAAATTCATCTTTAAATGTCTCGTACAGTAAAGATATTTGAGAACTCGCAAGGCATATTTGAAATGCGTATCACTATAAGCATTTTGGAACCGACTCAAATAGTTTACGCTATAAGATACGTCTGGACGTGTTCCACTCGCAACATACAGAAGAGCTCCAATCAAGTTTCTATACTTTAACGTTGCACTGACATCTTGACTTGGTTCAATGCTTAAATTCATTTCCATTGGTGTCTCAAAGTTCTTTGATTCGATTACGTTATACTTTTCAGCTAAACTTACAATGTATTTTTCCTGGCTTAAAGTCATTCTGCCTTCTTTTGGTTCAAAAACTACATCTATTCCAAGATACTGTTTCACCTTTCCCAGATCTTTCATTCGGAATCTATTGTTCAATAGCCGTTTAACTTCGTCAATTGCCTCATTTTTCTCCCCACAAATCAAAATATCATCCACATACAGACATAGATATATATTTACATTATTTACACACCCTGTATACAAACAATAGTCATAGTCTGACCTATTGAAATTAATGCTTGACATGAATTCGTGAAAGCATTCATACCAATCACGTGGGCTTTCTCGCAATCCATAAAGAGCTTTTTGTAGTTTGCACACTTTATTATTCTCTGTACAATATCCATCAGGTGGGTAAATATAAACTTCAGACTTAATACTCCCATTCAAGAATGCTGTCTCAACGTCCATTTGTTCAATGTTCCATCCTCTTACACATGCAATTGATAATAAAGCTTTCATTGTCGTCATTCGCGCTACTGGTGAAT